AAAATAGCACTGTTTTCTTTCATGTTTGCTCTGCCATCCGTTACGGACACCTTCAGAAAGTAATTAAAACTTAGAGAAATTGTAAGAATTGTCCATATAAAGCAGGGTCGCAGATTTTGGTAATTTTTTAAGAGCTCGTCGTTAAATCTTATGCAGTGAAATTATACCATTAAAAAGAGGATAATATGCTGCATTAAATGCTCCAAGATCCCTTAGAAATCTTGGTTACACGAAATGTGACGTTCGTTTTAAGAAAGCGACATTACTTCCGGAACGATCCAATACCTCAGAAAGAAAACCAAGCAAGGCAAAAAATTTTATTACTAATCGAAGTCGTTGAGTTTTTGTATGAATTGACTGTGCTGTGAAGGTTCTTTCCTGAATTACCCGGTTAAACCATAACAAATGCTTTTTCTAATGTTTGCCAGAAATGTGGGTAGGCCATGATAAAAAGATAAAAAAGATAAGTGATAAAAAGCCTAAAAAACTCGTAAAAAGTAGTATAGTGAAATCAGCATGTGCGAAAACCCTGTTCCACGCTTCTTCAAATTTTTTGAACAAGCAGAGCGTCCTATTGCATAATGGTTCTCTATGCTGGAAGCTCTTACTGTAATTCTACAGTAATGAGCACCGATTGGAGATTCACTACACTCTGTAAATCTAAGTTGAAGCAGCACTACAATATAGTACCTGAAGATCTGCGACGTTAACGCAGGAGAGATATTAACGCAAACAGTGTGCACTTTTAGGACACCCTGTATGTACACATAACAAAGCCAAACTCGGAAAAAGATGATTCGACACTAGTCAGGAATCTGATCAAATTCGACTTGACACTCACTTGACACACACTGACACTGACACTTGACACTTGACTTGACTTCCTTTAACTGGGCGCGCAGTATGGGCTCCCGCGAGCGACGCTGGTTGATACTGCCTATAAAAAATTATGAAGCTGGCTTTTTGAAAGGTTGCGGAGTCCCCAGATTCAGCAGTGGATAATTGGGGGAGGCGTCTAGATACAGTCTGGCTCAATCGATCAGGCCAAACCGTCGGCGTATTTGCGCGCTCGCAGTGCTAGGGCTTGCGCTGCATATGCGCATTGTCGGAGTGAGCGAAGAAATCGAAGAGAGAGCAGACCAGCAAGCCGCGGACGTGATTCAAAACATTAGCGATGCAGAGTTGTTTGCGAATTTTGGCCTGATTGGGATTGAGACACGTAATTGATTGATTTGAGATTCGAAGCAGATATATATCTATGACGCTCCCTGACGATCGTTGTTATGTGGGTGGTTCATGCAGAAGTAGCATCCTGGGTGGCAACAAAAAGATTGCAGGTATCTAACTTACTACCAAAACACTAACAAGGGAACGATCCCAAATTATGGTGGCGAATTGGAATGAACGGGATATCATTAGATGCGTTTTGGTGAGCTAATTCTAAATCTGCCTTTCATATCTGCGGAGCCGTTCTCTGCAAAAAGTTATAAGCGTTTGAAAATGTGAAGTCACTGGGGTTTTAATGCTTAATGCCCTTCAAAATCCAACTTCAGAGTGTATGACTAGCATGAATTGAGTGTACTGATTTCAAGGAATGCTCACATCCAAGAGAAACACAAATAAGTGTTTTTGAACAACTAATTCACGAGGTATGGCGCTGTATTATTATTAAAACGTTGACGACAGCGTGGATTTTTAGCTGTCTACCTTGTGGGACTGTGCCTTCTACACTACGCTGCGTATTTTTAGCTGAAATCAAGCAGGCCGGCATCTGCAGTATCCCTACAGCGATTTTGAGAAGTAGCTAAGAAACGCGGAAGTAATTCCTAGGGATAAAGCATAAGAACTGTTGATACCACAGTTATTGCATGACCCAACGTGTGGGTCACATTGTCGTCAATGTGTTAAATTTGTACTTTTCATTGCTCATAGCTTTTGATAAAGAACTTTAGTTGCTTTTCAGCTGTTCAAAATACTTATTTGTGTTTCTTTTAAATGTGAGCATTCCTTGAAATAAGTACACTCAGTATCATGCTAGTCATACACTCCCAAGTTGGATTTTGAAGCACATTATGCATTGAAACCCCAGTGACTTCACATTTTCAAACGCCTATAACTTTTTTGCAGAGAACGGCTCCGCGGACATGAAAGGTAGATTTGGAATCAGCTCACCAAGACGCATCTAATGATATGCGGTTCATACCAATTCGCCACCTTAAGTTGGGATCGTTCCCTTGTAAGAAGGAAAGTTCGCAATCAGTAATGATATTGCTTTGTTATAGTAAAGAAATTTGACTTCATTGTCAACATATACCCAGTCATGTACAATGACGCTTTGCATGCTTCTAGGACCTACCTTTGACATCCCTACCCTCAATTCGAGACATCTGAAGATACACTGATTCGCGCACCTAATTTGGTTTTTGACAGTTTCTCCAAATTTCTAAGGAGCAACCTGCAACGGAATTACCTATACTGCGGACGCACGCTAAGCCAGCTTCAAAAACTGATTCAAATTGGTCAGACTGTAGATGGTTTCGAAAACAACTTTATTTCATAAAATCTTATTCTCTGAGGCAAAGTCTCAGGTATAAGTTGGAATAATTTTTTGGCGTACTTCACTCAGACTAAAGGTGTGCTTTCGAGTGCAAAAAACTAGAAAAATTATGTTTCAGATTTGAAAGCAGCAAAGTTAAAGTGGTACAACGAACAGCATGAACTTGACGGACTTCACAAATGTGCCTTTCATAGCGTACATCGAAGCTGCTCTAATAGTATCAGTAAGTTTTCACATATTTGTTGCTGATTTACATCTCACTGTCTCACCAATGTCTAGCAGCACTGAAAAGCCACTAACTTTTAACACTTCATCAAGTTCACACATAAATGTGCTATCTATCGTCTGTCCTGAGACGTTGTCGCCTGCATGTGCGGCACGGCCTGCGGCCCTCTCGACCTTTCTGCCGAGTTCACGGCAGCATGGGCGTTTTTTCACGCTCAAGCGCGATCGGAAATGGCGGGATAAGAAAATCCTCAGTTACGTTCGCGAACGCGTTGCCAAGCTGAAGGGGGTGTCTGTGAGCCGCACCGACCGGCGACACTGCCATTCAAGCCAAGATCGACAGCAAAGGTGGAGGATTACCGGGCTCTTGTTGCTATGGTAGATCCCCTAACTAAGCAATGACTGAGGTTCGAAAAAGGGTTACTAAGTTATAAATTTCGCCCCAGAAGAAGCCCGGATTTACGGAAGGCCCGAATGCCGTCCGGACAACGATGTTGAACTGCAAAGCTAGAGCGCGCATAGCGCACATAATCATGACCATAGGTTTCCACAGCTACTCTGCATATCAGCTTTGGCGAGCTTCGCGCCCTCACTTCGCATTTTAAATCCGTGGGTACCATGAAAAGCCCATTTTTGACATTTTTGCTCTCCAAGCTGCGCAGTTAAGCAGGATAGAAACCTTCAAATTCAGGTTTTGCTGGGATTCTGGTCCCAAAACAGCGTCCAGGCATATCTGGAACATGGGGGTCGCAAATGGAAACCGATTTTGGAAGTTCAACTAAGCCAGTGGGCAGCGCAGATAATCATCCGCAGCTGGGATACTCGTCCCTAGAAGAGATCTCGCCATCTTATTTGACGGGCGACTTGCATATTGCGTTACCCGACGTAAATGAGCCCCGCGCACAACCAAACACTTCGATGCAATTCGTAAATGCGGTACTGGGGACAAACACCTGGAGGCCTCATGAGTACATTGGAGAGAAGTGGGAGCATTTTTTCATTTGTTCTTCCTTATTTATTAGGTTGGAAACTAAGTTTTGCAACTGGTCTCATAACTCCACTCTCACTCAACAGGGCGCGCTCAAATTTTGCCACTGCGTTGGTTATTACGTAAGCTACAACCGCAGCTGCTGTCCTACCCAGTTCTGACGTCGCAGTGAGGGTTACGGTAGGTGCATGGTATGAAGGGGAAAAATTCAAAGTTTGACGGATTTGGCTGCAACTTGGCATAGGGGTGTTATCCGACATGCTGATCACGAAAACGATAGTGAAATTGCGTGATAAGGGCTTTTTTGTAGGATTACTGTAGGTGTATGATATGGGGTCTCACCCTAAACAAGGAAAAGGCGTTGATTCAACAAATGAATGTGATATTCGCGTTTGGCAGGTCAAAAAACCTTACTATGTAAAGTCTCGGCGGAATTTGAGCCTTGGACTCTTTAGTCATTGAACGGTCGTCTCCAGTAGCTCTTGCGTACATCGACTCTTTCCACTTTATGAGGACGCCAAATCTCGACATGTCCTTAAATTTTGTTTCTTTCTTTAATAGGCCAAAAGGGTCAACCTCCAGCAATAATTTGTAGACGAATCCGGATTACTGCGCATGGTCTAGGCTGCCAAAGGCTTCATTTTAGCTTGAAACCCCAAAAATTCTCAAATTTCACTAGTTTTCGAAAAACGCCTGAAACTTTTCTATTTCGTCTTCAAAATTCAGACAATTTCTGCTCGCTTGTAGCTCATACTGCCTTCTAGAAAATGCCAAAGTTTGAGTGCGCCATATCCAAAGAGAGTGAAATTATGAAACCAGTTGCAAAACTTAGTTTCCAGCCTAATAAATGCATTATCACATTTGTAATCGAAAGCAGCGAATGGAGATGTCTTCAGTTTGTTTCAACGCTCAGCGCTAAACCAAAACAAATCGCGCTGTGAAGTCTTGACTATCTTAAGCACTCAATATGAGCAGAAAATTATAAAGGGAGGTAGAGGTTAAGCAAGTAGTGAAATTAACAAACCTTGAATGTTTTTGAGTACATTTGTATGCATCGATATTTTCTGTGTTTCATCCGTCACTGTTTAGACATTCATCGCGGGATTCCTGGCCAACTTTATATCGTTTCTAGTTATAATCAAGCACAAATCTTTCTGCAATTCTTTTGGCTACATTATTGCTTATAGTGCATTTGCAAACTCTTGTCTTCTTCTAATTTTTGCCATCTGGGCTACGCCTTGGACTCTATTGTAAGTTTCGTCAAGTAGTTAGATTGACCCTCTAGTCACTATGATTCTATATTACAGTGCAGTTCCCGAGAGTGTGCATGGAGCAAATTTGTTTTTTGGCCAAACATCTTTGTTTCTCCAAGAAGTTGGCTTCCACGGCAATCTTCTCCTTTCCATAAACAGGTACCATATCCTTTGAGTTTCTCGAAGCACCATCGCACGTGCGCTACATGAATATCTATTGGTAAATGAAAATCAGACACAGCTGCCGTTTTGGGTAGCAACTCAATGCTTTGCAGCTCTCGAAAAAATGTGTAAAAAAGTGTAAGATTAAGACAAAAATTGTATGACATCAAGTAGAGCATGGAACCTAATTACGGTGAGAAACATAGAGTACACTGCGATCCTGCATATTTCCGTATAAAGTCAAGCCAAATGACCAAGGTCTTCATAAGATTATATGGTCGTGGTCGGTTAAGCTGATGACTGATTAGTCGCCTTGCATATCGTCAGTCGCTTACTAAGATTGAGAAGTTAGGATGAAATGGAACCAACATTGCGACATTAACTATTGAAGTGTGCTTCAAGTGATCAATGGTGAAGTGCATACTTTCTTGATAAGACAGCCACGGATTATCAGACACAGTCAGGGGATAGAAAAATTCTTTACAATTGCGAAATAGATAAGTTCCTGTTGTCGCTTTCCGAGGTTTACTTGCTTGAGATATGGAATAATAACCTAATAAATTCAACATTTGGTGCTCCGAGACAGCTTCTGCATTATTTGCGAAGCTGTCTCGAAGCATACAATGTTGAATAGGGAACGAAGGCCGCCAATTTGAACCGCCCTTCGCGGCCAACTGCTCCTCTTGCAGCGTCGTTGCATGTCGTTCCAGGACCAGCAGTCCGCGGAGGCGGTTCAAACTTGCGGCTTTCATTCCCCTACTCGCCGCTCAAGTGGCAGGTTTGGCTGATGCTCGGCTTCCGATTTACTGCAAATACGGAAACTTCCAAGTTTTCAGTTTGCAGGAAATATTTCGCGATTTACAACCCATTTTAAGCAACGGATAGTATGTACACTTTGAGTCGACTGAATTGGCAGTTGGAAGGCGGGGCTTCTTGATCGAGTCAAGTCTAGAGGATCATAGAGCATGAGCGCCGGAGAGACGCCGACTTCGTCGCGGACGCGAGCGGCTAATCCAGACGAATCAAAGGTTAATTAATCAACAGAATGGCTGCAATGTATCCGGGTTGCTGTAAGGTTGAACGTCACGGTAAGGGAGGAAGTGGATTAATTGAAGGAGGTACAATAGGTGTGATAGGCGTGAGTATGCATCAAACGCGAGGAGAAATAAGGGTGCTGACTCTCAGTGAACTAAAATGGTAATCATGTGATGTTCTCTGCTGATAAACTTAGCCGGTTGATGAAACTCCGTTGAGAAAGGTTGAGCGTAGTTGATTATTATCAGTCAGCTCGAAAATCAAACATACAAAAATCGATAAATCGAGGAAGGATCAGTCATCACTGGATATCAGGTAAAATGGCACATGCGCTCTACGCCATACATTATGTCTGCCAAATTTGGTTTGAATTTCATGATTTCTTATATCCTTTTTGGGACGAAGATAAAAATCTAGGCAAAAACTGCAAAAAATCAACAAATCGATAACAGCAATCCGTGTGTCCCGAATACAAAGGCTTATTAACACGCGCAAAACTCCATGCATTATGTCTGCCAAATTTGGTCCAGATTCTATGATTCCTTCTATCCCTTCTGAGCGAACATAAGAGTGTGGCTAACTCAAATATTATAAAGTGTGGCTAAGTCAAATATATTATATAAGTGTCGATAGGTTGAACTGCCCACTTGTGTTTTACACAAAAGAAAGTTTCTCATGTGTTTATTGATGGAGCTGTTGTGCATGAACAGGTACAACAGTACTCTAAACACCACAATTCTATTAGCCTGTAAGTAAAAGCTTTTTTTTACTACTTTTTTTTACTACTTAAAATTTTCCATGCAATGTGACCTGAGTGTGGAAGAAGTATCCCATTATCTATGTTTATTGAACATACTTAAGGTTTGTCGCAATCACATTTCCGCTACAATATCGTCTATGGTTCACGAGAAAATCCACTCTCATAATGCTGTTAGGCATAACTTGCCTCCCCTTTGGATACTGGACAGTTTTTTTCATAGGTGAAATGTTTTTTCTGAATATTACTTTTTCAATCAAACGTTATATAAAAACCTAAATTCAGACACTTGCGATATCTCTTATGACCACCATTTGCGCGTTTGGAGATTTGGTACACATCCTTGCAGTGTGTTCTTGGCCACGTACGTGGACGTGTGCTACAATATATTCCTTTTCGTAATAATCGCTATTTTTGATTTGCTTTCTCTTGTTCGACTACAGATGATGAAAAAGGTTGGTTAAAAAGGATTTCACGACAGCTCGAATTAGCTAAAACTTATAACTTCAGAAATCGTTGGCTCGCAAAGGCAGCACAACTTCCGAAACGAATAAAATGAAGCGGCAGCATAAGAAGCAAGTAAATCTTTTTGTGCAGGTCTGTTTTCAAAACAGAACAAAATCCATACACCAGATAGATTTTTTCAGGCATTTTTGACATCAGTTGTGTATTCGCTGACGCTACTTAGTTTTAATTTAACTTCTACGTATATACCTGAAGGATTTTACTTATTTCTCGGCACAACTTTTGCTTGGGAATCAGCTCACGCTTTCGCAGGGTAGGTTGCACCCTTTTATGAGCAGAATATCAGATGAATTGTCAGCTTTATTGAGGGCATCGAAGTAAGTATTCATATTCTGCAAACGAGTATGTAGGAGAATTAACCGATGCTGCAGCTTACGTACGCTTTAGCCTATAAGTCAACCAAATACTCTTTCTGTTTTTGTTTCATTGGCTGTTGAAAAAGCTAACTACCCCTTATACTTGTGCTTTCTTTGTATCTCACCTGTAGTATACGTGTGCATTCCTCCTGTGGTTTTTGCCTATCACCAAAACGCTATTCGAAAATTGCCGGATTGAGTGAAACCAAGGTGCTTATTGGAACCCAAGAAGAAGTTTCTGCTGCACTGTGCAGTTCTTCCACTTTCTTTTCGCGCATGGGCTGCATCACTTTCGGTATCGAGTTCTCTCCTCCTCTACAAAGCTGAAATTTTTTGCTATTTAAAACTGCAGCATGAAACAGAAGGTAGGATCAAAAGGGTTTCCTCGTATATGTAAAAGTTGGGCCAGACTGGGCGGCGTACGTGGCTTCCGTAAAAGATATGACGCGTACACTGTGTACGTCGCGCAGTCTGACTAAACCCTAAAGGCATAGAGAAGACAGTCAAGTGGCGCGATTTCTCCGGTTGTCACTAGCTTAAAACTCCAGTTTAGTGCTATGCGAGTCCTAAAAAAGTACCAGATAAAGTGCATTAGCTTACTATCTCTCTGACATTAATAATTGCTGAGTTGTTGGCTTTTTCGGGATTATGGACCGGAATAATTACGAATTTGTTCTTAACTGCAATTTCATGGCTTTTTGATCTTCAAAGTTGCTGTTTTGAACCGACTCCAAGGTATTAAGATTGAACAACCACTATCTGACACATCTCCTTTTGAAAATTTGAATACTTTTAGAAAGTCATAAAACACTCATTATGTGCTATTTGGTGTCCGTCTGGCAATGAAAATCGCGCCTCTTGACAAACACACAAGGCATAGAGGGGGGGGCGCTTATAGAATAAATTAGCGGAAGGGAGAGCTATGGAGAATGGTGAAGTGTCATGTTATGTTGACGAGAACCGAGCAAAGTCGGTAACCCCCGTCAGATACTGATTAATCCCTCCCTACAGTAGGGACTTTTGAGATGGTCTGTCCCCCTGTCTCATCTACCGTGTTCGAAAGACCTGATATATTTGCTTCAACTTATTTTAATGCTCATCAGAAACTTATTTGCTGAGGAAATACCTCCAATTGACTATCTACAATAACTCATAAATTAGAAGAGCTAACGAAGCCCTCAAAATTTTCAAACCTAGTACAAAAGAAAGCATGTGAACTCGGTTGTAGGTAAGTTCATCTACTTCTTAAAGACGAGCCCTTTGAGACTTCAAGTACTGAAAGCATTTTTGATTTGATCTGCAAATGATGTAAAGAAATATAGTTTTTACAGAAAACTGGAAATAATTCTTGGAACATTGAAGTAATTCAACATTAGTCTATGAAAAGTAAGAGAATCGTATATTTGATGTGCTTACAGAATCCCATTCATTTTTATATATTCTGTTAAAGAAGGCATGAGTTGGCCAAAAGCTTTATGTAGTTATTGTTTGTGAAAACTATAGAGCTGATTGTTTTTACAAGAAAACGAGTATTCGAGCGATTTGATGAGCCATGTAGATTACATATCGAAAGTCAAGCTCTTTCGTTTGCGCCACTATTTAGGCGTGTCCTCTTAGCTATGTCGCGTGTCGTCGTTATAGAGCTGTTACTTCTCACTTTGATCGGGTTGTTTCAATTATCTATCTTTCTTTCTGAATCTCTTTTTTTGATTGCTAGTTTTGAGAATATGACTTGGTTCATTGTTAGCTAGCAGTTAAGTAAATACAGAAAGTGGCATTTGAAAGCAAGGGTTTACTTCGTTTGTTTTGCAACATTTTCTGCATTCCGGGATCTTTCATATTTATAATGATTTGTTCGATTATAATGATTTGTTTGATTATGATTTTTCAGATTTGTTCTCGTTTGGTTCAACCCAGAGATTCGAAGACACTTTGCCGTGCAAGAGTTCACTCAGCTTTTCACCAAGCCCACTTCTACAGTGTTTCACATAACGTCTTCGAAAAACTGAAGTAACGCGATCACTTCCGTTTAGTGTTCTTTTGTATTGATAAAAAAAAGCTCAATGTGAGGAAATTTGGCTGACCCCTTTGTCAGGTGTAAGTGTTAATTAAATAGTTCAATAAACAACAAATATACATTACGAAAGGTTGTTATTCTCAACTTCAAATCGTTTTTGAAAAACAGAGCAAGACTTTTCATCTGCAGGTTGTGTGCATATGATCTGCATCTCAAATATTTTGAATTACATAAAAACTAGTTATTTTCCAATATGTTCTTTTTTCGCTATAATTCTAGTGTACCGGCTCTAATCAGTAGCCAATCCTCAATTAAGTAATTACATTTCCAAGCTCCGAGTGGCATTTTTGTCCTTTTTGATTTGAATCATTCCATCCAGCTGTTGGCGTTATCTGGATCCGCTAGTACCTGTTGATTAAATTAATAGTTCAATCATAATAAAGCTCATCATCTGTCTACTTCTATAAAGCATCTTCCTAAACCTTTCTAATTCTGTATGTGGTTGTCTGCTCATCTACTTCAATACCATGTGTCCATGAACTAGTTTAACAAATCGAGTGCAAAAAATTGTGATTTCTGTGAACGAAGCAGCAACAGCGATGAGAAGGTCATCGCTACCGTCTCGTCCTTTGAAATAAGCCTTGGACGCTCAACTTTAATATCAAGGTCTCTAGAAAAAGCTTCTATGTACATGCAGTGTTTCATTAAAAACAACTGCTAATCACATTTGTAGAAATACTTACTAGAAGGAACCTACGATCAAGAAAATAAAAACAGGTATAGCTGAAAAAGTTTGAAATGATGGATCAGGAATCTCTGCAAACCAGAGCTACTGATACTGAACATTTTATATTAACACATTGACGACAGCGTGACCCACATGGTGGGTTCACGCAATGACTGCCACGTGGGACAATGTGACCCACATGGGTCATGGCTTAAAATTCGTCAAAATGAATACAATCTCAAGTAAATTCGTTACAGAAGTTCTCTTACGCTCTGATTCTACGGGTTAATAGGGTTAGTACCGCATTTCTTTTCTGCCCCTTTGAATTACCGTAGATTTACTGTAGATGACGAGCTGCTTAATTTTAGCTGAAAATTCTCAACTTTATCGTGGAAGGCATTGTCCCACAAGGCAGACAACTGAAAATGCGCGTTGTCGTCAACGTGTTAAAACGGACGCATACAATTTGCTGCGAAGTAAAAACACTAAAAACTAGGATAATAAAAGTCACATGATTGTCTGTGATATAGCAGGTGTGGATAAAAGAGATGAAAAGAAAGGCTTTACTAGCCATTGACTCAACCCTTGCTAACCTTAGGAAAATGTAGTTTTTAGCAAATTTTGCTAAGACATTGGCCATATTTAAAATTGTCTCAACTGCGAATATCTGCTTGGATGGATAGCTGAAATCAGATGCGCACTTTGATAGTGGCTCTCTTCATAAAACTCAAATCAGTAGCCTACAAAGATAGCTGGAGAGTGAGGTCGACTTGAAGCATTTTGGGTGGAATTTCGCGCACTGTACAGTCTAGAAAGCCTGTATAAAACGCAAACGGTAGATTTGGAGATCTGCGCATGAATTCCCCGCGACAAAGAGAGCGGCGTCTTCAATCATGGTTTTTAGCCCCAGCGTGCTCGCCCGCGGCCCTTTTATAACCGGGTACGTCGCTCCCTTCGCCCCAGGTTCCCATAGGGGCCTTAAAGATTCAAAAGGATGGGATTAAGGCAGTTCGTAGAGACAGTTTGAGGGAAGCATGGTCCCAGGGAGAACATTCAAGGAAATGGTCGCTGGGAAAACTTTTCCGAGTTTCTGACGTTTACTTCGGTCAGAAAACTTTTGTATGCCAAAGTTTGAGAGCATCCGAGAATCTTCACAAATGTAGGAATGAGAAATTCCGGCAGGTACAGTTTAAATCATGATCATGCTGAAGATGGCTCGAAATCGCACGCTCGCAACGCGAAGAGTGCGCTGCATTTTATGTTGCAGAAGAGTTCAAAGAAGAGGACGTAGAAACAGACAGGTCTTAATAACCACCACTGGCAAATTGCAGACATGATGCAGAATCTTGGCGTTGCGCAGAGCAGCATATCAATTTTGGCCTAATTAGGATGGGGCAGACTGTAAAAGTATGGATGGCGCATTCTCTCAACAATACCTTTGCAGTTAGATTCGGCGATTGAGCTGGATCTGAAGGATGTAAGAATGCGAGAGATTGGTGGTGTGGGAATTTTCACAAAGGGAACGTTTGGGTGAATGGGAGGGAGGGGGAGGAGAGGGGAGGAGGGGGGGGAGAGGAGGCAGTCTGGCTCAAAGAATTCAAGAAGGACAGCAAAACGCAAGTTTGCAAGGTGCAAGAGCACACAAACGTCATATAAATGGGAAGCTGCAAAAAAGGGATCAAAAATCTGTTGGCACTTTTGTTAATAAAATTTGGATACTCATATAAAGCACGAGCAAAATTCCTGACACTTTGACTTTGATAGCCCCTGGGTTCGTTAAAGGCAGCGTCCAGGCAAATCTGGACATATGGAGTTCCGATGTGGAAAGTAATTTTGGGGCCCTAACCAAAACATTGCCCAAGCGACAGCTCAAATAGTGAACTCATAGTTGAGATATCCGCCTCCAAACTGGATCCCGGGATCGTACTCGCATGGATTCATGGCGCAACCCATCAGTTTCGCTTGGGTCCTCGCGCGAAATTGATGTGTCGAGCCTTGAATCCGTGAAATACGATTCGGGGTCCAGTTTGGAGGAAAATATCTCAACTGTGAGCTCACCATTTGAGCCGCCGCTTGAGCAGTGTTTTAGCTAGAGCTCCAGGATCACCCTCCAAGTGAGATCTTCATAGGCCCAAATTTGCCTGAACGCTGCCTTTAAGTGTCTGCAAAATCCATGCCAGACTTTTCGCGAAGAAAAGGCTTGCCACGTTCTAACTTTCAAAGCACGTCCCACTTCACACATACAGCCAGTCCGAAACGGCGCTACAGTCACAGCGGTCACAACACATATTAAGTAAAGTTCTTGCTAATGCTGATCAAGTCATTCAAATCCTAATCTATTATTCATACCGCTAATTGTCCAAAGTGCATAAATGGATACGATAGTCATTCCTTTCAAACAGGTGACAATAAAGTGCTTGTTTCTAGGTTACATGAAATAGCTTCACATCAAATTAGAAGCATTCGAACATGCATTTTTATTAAACTATCAATTATGTCTGAAAACGCTCATCATCCATTGATTGCACGCAGACAACGAGGCGATCCCGAGGTCAACCCAGATAGTATTCTTAACGAGGTCAACACGTTCTCAAGGTAAGTTATCATCATGTTTCATTTACCACATCTTGCAACCTCATTTTTGTTCAATCGCATCAAACAGATTTTTTCTGCTAAATGTCGATATGCGAGCCGATTCAAATCAGGATCTTTAAGTTTGACAATTTGCAACGTTTCAATATTTGGGATCAACAAGATTTCGGTTAACTTTCTTGGCTGGGTTTAAAAGAATTTCCTTTATGGCAGCTCAAACTTCTACTGTTGACGTTGAATGATTCTGGGGGGTCCTCTTTTCCTCTAAATTTGATTCCTACAACAGTTTTATTGTCTGACAAAAATCGGTGTTCTCGAAAAGCACAAACAGAGACGATAGCCAATGAAGTTATTAAAAGTACTTTGACATTTTTCGAGATCATCAAGTAAAACTTCTACATATCAAAGTCAAGAAGAGCAAACATAGAAAAATAAAAACATCTTTAGCTTTGGTGTCAAAATTTCTCTCCCCCCCCCCCCCACAGTCACAGAAGATTTTGGTAGAGATAAGATGGAATATTGCAGCATGACCACGAATGTAAGCGTTACTGCTCCATCGTGCCTTGATTACATTGAAACCATGCTTGTACTCACGGTAAGCATTCCCCATAATTTTTCATTCAAATCTATCTCAACTCTAGTGGTGATAACCTGTAGCGTATGATTGTGCTGAAAAATAATAAAAGAACAAGTTTTGCTGGTGAGCTTACAAGGGAAGGATAGTTGGATGCCGCGGCCATTCCTAATGATTTGTATACCAAAAAATGCGCCTTCGAATGCAGATTCTGAATCTGTGCTCGAAATCTGCGAAACGATCTTTTGAAGAAAGTTATGAACTTTTTTCCTTGAAAATTTAGCCTACTTTTGGATAGTAAAAATCACCAGATTTGATCTAGCCTACCATTTGATGCTACTGAGGAAAATTTTAGAATAGTAATATTTATTTAGACTATCTGGATCATACTCAGCATTTGGAAAGGAGAGAAAATTTTTTTATTGATGATTCTGACGCTCCGCAGGAACGCAATTTTTTTTTAATGAAAAAATCATAACTCCATTCAGATTATCGTTTCGCAGATATGAAAGACAGTCTACGAACCAGCATTCAAAAGCGCATTTTTTGGTATACAAATTATTATGAATGGCCACGGCATCCAAGTATCCTTCCCCTGTTAGATGGAACAAATTTGTTTCGATTGGTCTCAAGGTTTTCGGATCATCTGTCACTTACTTTGCATCTGCCACTTACCTTGATCAAGTATTAAGTCTTCATGTCAAAAGTCAAACTTCCTCAAATTTTATTCATTGATTTTACGCTTGCATTCCTTCTTTCTTTTCCCCTAAAATCAGGAGTGTTTGATATATAAATTTTGCAAAATAGTGCGAACAATCGAGCACTTGCATGCTTCTAGTGTTCATTTCCATATATCAAATATAAGTAGATAGTGACTGAAGAACAAGAAGACGGAGGAGAAGTGTGAGCTTGACTTTCTTTTCAATTCCGCTCGCAAAATCCGGTTATTTCTGCTACCTTTCGTACTTGAAGATCGCATTGAACTTATTTGCCCACAATGGACACGTTCGACAAAATATCATTGATCTATCATAAAGTGTCCTTTAGACATCTACTACGGGATTCACACTCAATTTTGTATCATTCCTGATAATCATGAAACACAAGTCCTTCAACAACTCTTTCGGTTACATCATCGCATATCATGCTTTTTGCAACGCATCCATTCTCTTGATTTTTGCACTCTGGGCTACTCCATGGACTTTGTTGTGAGTTTACAATTACCGTTTTGCTCGTAGAATAGGATATCTAGTAATAATCCAAATGATTCAGCTCCGTGCCTGACAGTGTGCAATCATTAAACAGGTTCATTGGTCAAATGGCCTTGTTCTTTGTGGAGGTCGCTTTCCACTGCAATCTTCTCACTTCCATAAACAGGTATCATCAAAAAAAAGTCTTGAAAGCATTAGCTTATTAAGCAATCACTATTGCAAACTCAAACTAACGTTTGTATCTCGCACAATGCGTTTCGGCAAACCATGCAAGTAGGTGCAACCACCAAGCTTTGAAACATGAACTCAACCACAGTTTGCAAATCATGCATTTAGTAAAAAGTATCAAAGTGAGATTTTCTCTTGATACATTTCAAGTTACCAACCGATGCGCGTTGTGGTAACTGCAGTGCCAACGTAGAGCTATAAAGTACTCACTCATATGGAGAAGTAACGACTAAATGTCTGAATGCGGTAATGCAGGAAGCAGCCGATGACGTAGTTGGTTTATCAAATAGTTTACAGTCGGTAATATCAACATTTAATCAAAACTTTGAGAAGGACACCTGCAGAGATTTATGAAAATTTTCTCAAAATACTGGGGAAGGATGCTATGTCGCCCAGGCAAAATGGTAAAGGTCTATTTTTTGCAGTATTGTAGAAACACTCACTTTTGATGTCAAAAATGCAAACCGATGGGTGGACTTTGTGGAATTACAGTGCGACGAGGTGATCGCGATGAAATTGAGCTGGTTCAAGATCTTGATCGTTTCGCTGTTTTTACAAAACGCAGCGCAAGCGTGTCTTTCCATGGTTATGTTGGAAGAAACGAACTTATCTGTAGACTGTCTGCATGGATTAAGGAGTAGAGGTCATAAGATAAAGGCAATTGATGATTCGCTTTTCAGATGTCAAAACATTTTCGAATTGTCCTCAACATAGCTCATAACTGGCCTTCATAGGAGATTTGCGGCAACAATGTGGTACACAACTGTCTATATTAAACCAAAGTGCACCTCTTTCAGCTGACCAGTAATTAGAGATTCTCATATCAACTAAAAAAGATGGCTGTTGTTTGAACATGAAAAAGGTATTGACTATAACCGTTTTTGAAGACGGTATCTTCAACGCGCGCCTAAATCAAAAATATCAAAAACGATCCTTCTCAAGGTTGAATGAAGTAGTGGTGTATGCGAAAAACCCTAGGCAACAAATTTTCTCGTTAGATACTTCTATACTTGCTGCACCAATCGAGCACGCGGAGGATTTTTCCCGAAGGTTTGCATACTACAAGCCACCTTCAAATTACGGACTTAAAGGCAGCGTCCAGGCAAATCTGGGCAGATAAGTTTTTTTGCCCGGGAACTAATGAGGGGTCCAAACTAAGGCAGTGCCCAAACGGCAGCGCTAATGATCTATTCACGGCAAGGAATTCCATCCCTAAACCTTCCGTGATGCGATGTGACCGTAACTCGCGAGTGACTTACGATGGGTCCCATCGCGAAGGTAATGTCGAAGGAGCAAAGTCGTTTTCGGGTGGCGGTCACGGCGCAGGTGCGAATGGATTTGGGACGGATTTCTCGGCCGTGAATGAATCACTCGCGCTGCCGCTTGTGCAGTGCTTTAGTTAGGACCCCCTCATCAGTTTCCAGGCGGGAAAGCTATGCGCTCAGTTTTGCCTGAGCACTGCCTTTGAGAAACTTGACGGGTCATTGGCGGATTCATTCCGGCTAGGTATGAAAATAGAGTTGGCCGTTAAGGTTCGTTGCGATCACATTTCCTCTGAAGTATCGGTTGTGGTTTACGCAAAATTCTACCACTCTTATGTTGTTAATAATTACCTGCATACCGCTACCGTATTGGGGAATATATTTTATAGGTAATGTCTAATGACTACTGAATCATGCATTGAGATTCCACTTTAGACACTTGTAACTTCTTCTACGATCATTATTTGCGTATCTGGAAGTTCGGTACACAACCTTGCAGTGTCTTCTTATCAAAGTATATTGATATGGTCTACAATATTACTTTATTCGTTGCCGTGGCTGTTCTCGACACATCAACTCTTCTTCGATTAAGAATTATAAGAAAGGTTATGCGAGGTGCAATGTAAAGAAAAATTGTTCTAATGAATAACTTCTCTTAAGTCAACACAGAACAGAACACAGAAAGGCAATCATCATCTTATGCGGGACGAAAAGAAAAGGCAGCATAAAAAAGAAACGGATCTTTTTGTGCAAGTCAGCCAGTTTTGTGAACTTCAATGACACACTAACGGAATATTTCAGGCATTCTTAACCTCTTGCGTTTATTTCCTGATGTTAATATGTTTTCATGTCATTTCCGTTCATGCATCCGAAGGATTTTTCTTATTCCTGAGCACAACCTTCGTATGGGAACTATCGCACACCTTGGGAGGGTAAACAGCAATGCTCTTGAAAAATTTGTGAACCTCACAACTCAGTTTAGTAAAAGCCACATTCCATTTCGTAATACGCTAATTTCACAAGTACAAGACGCACCTAATTTTTTCTAGACTTCACCAGCCTAAGCACACTAGAAAATTTCGCGAGCAAAGCACTCTCTGTCGTGCTGACTCCTACCTAAGAGTACTGTGTGGGAGAGCGCCTACTTGAAGAGACACACTGGTGCGGCCTAGCTGCTTGCTTGAAAATGAGAAAAATGCGTCTTGTACTCGTGAAATTAGGGTAATTGATGTGGAATAAGTAGGCAACATGTGGAAAACATCGCGATACGAGAAACCAATAGCTTTTTGTGGTAAAAAAATGAAAGCGATTTTCAGGGCTATCCTTATCTGGTTTAATCCAGAAATACGACGACATCTATCGGGTGCAAATGAATTCATCCGGTTTCTTTCCAATCCGACTAGTACTCTGAATGTATTGCACATAACATCTCAAAAACTATCAAATAAATAAGTATTCCATCTCTCATAGGCCCCGGACAGACTTCACGCGATTTGATCGTCGCGACTGAATCGCGACGAGACGACTGTTATAACATCATTTTATGCCAATCAACTTGCATTTCGGTTGTGATACTTTTCCAGCCCGAAATTTTTGAATGTGAAATAAAAATGAATGGAAATGTCGGCGATTGAGTAGCGACGATCAAATCGCGTGAAGTATGTCTGGGGCCATGGAGGCATGCTCAACAGTTTGAAGTTGAACTACCGTACGTTTGAAAAACAAATAAAGACTTTCATACGTTTTTCTGCGAGAATGAATTATTCTTCGAGAGCTTTTATGCCTTCTACTTTTAACTTGAAGGTCTCACATCGGATAGACGCTTTGAACATAAACGACGTGATTTGATGCAAATATATACTGTATCAATGTGTGTTGTAGAACTGGCTGGAAGCTACAATGCTCGATTGTGTATCGCGAGTGTTTGCTCATTAGATTTATTAAAAGCAGAAGACCTTTATCTTGGATAATCCCCTATGGCAATACATGCAAAATTCCCGCAAATTTCACACAATATGATAACAAAAATAGTCATGTTCTTCATAAGAATGAGTAAGTTATATGGCTTCGATAATGAGAATAGATGAATACGAAGACTACTGAAATGGAGAGAATGATATTAAGTGAGACAGCTCTAACTGCGAAGAGCCGTCGCAACTGCGCAGCCTATCTTCTCTCTTCTTGATGCAGCTGCAGCCCAGAACCATAAATACAGTTGCATGCAAGAAAAAAAAGGAACATTGCTCCAACGGAACTCCTTTGGGTTTTAGGTCAAACTTTTGCATTTTATCGATCCTCTGTGATAGAGTTGACAAAACCGGTAATTCTAAAAGTGAATATTGTTTTGGTATACATGCTCTCCCTGTTCCCCTTTCTCGTGCCAACCTAAGGCCTCAAAACTTGCAAAAATCGATATTATATGAAGATAATTGGCTTGACTGCTCAACACAAAGCATAGTAATCCCGGGTTATCGTAGCCGCGTTCAAGCAATGTCCCGTTCGCGTAGCCTCGGACATTTTACGGGCGGCTAACTTTTATCAGGTCCGGGATAAAAAACGATGGCGGTCGTGAAGCTAAGACGTGTCCGAGCTAAGGACTAGAGAAAAGCTGCACACGTGCTTTCTTTGCAAGCCAGCTAGATGGAAATAATGTGCGGAGACGCATAGGGCGCACAAACCTAGCGGTCAAGCATGTCGGGTTTGTTAAGTGCGCGAAACGTAGATACAGTCGGTTTCAGCCCGGATTAGGCGAGACATTCTACATGGAGCAGCGCATGCGCAACGCTGGAGGCTTCGCAAGCGCATAGCGTTGGCATTTTGCCAAGCAAAGACTAAAGAGATTGAAGAGACGCAGACGTGGGTTCTCAGCACGATAGGATATACTGTAGCTGCGAAACGGCGCGAGCTGCAGCGAGGCGGACTCCGCCAATCCAATTTTCGCCGGGTCGAAACTTACGGTAAACATCGTTCAGGCCAGAATGCATCTAATCGCCAAAAATCTGTGCTGACTAAATGCCTCTGCAAAATGTTGCGATTTCGAGTAAACAGCGCAAGCAATCTGATTTTTTGACAACTTAAAATCATAATATCTGGCAGAGGATCAACTCAGGTACTAAAACAAAGAGCATCTTTTTATTCTTTCAAACAAAAATAGGCATGTGCAAATTGGTTGAGAAATAAGCATGTTATGAGTTTACAAAAATGGGAACTGCCAGTCTTTACTAATCATATATTTGTACTGAGATAGGAAAAAAATGATGAGATATTCTGATAGGACCACTGATTATCAATCTGTTAACAACTATCCATGAACGCATCCATCTTATACGACATCTAAAACGACCAACAGCATATGTTCGACATAATTCCAGTCCTCATTTTCGATCAATCATTTTCAATCATCGCCTCAAAGTCCTTCATGTCACTGCCGGAGATAATTGCGGAAGTTAGAGCTGAACTGAGTCACTGCAATTACAAGCCTAGATTGGACAACGTGCCAACGGGGACAGTCTGTGTTTGAAAGACGGCTGTCGGTCAGAATCAGAGCTCGGCACAGGTGGCTTACGGGGCAAGCAGGATATCGTTATAAGAGTCAAAAGCAAAGAAGATATCGTTTCTGAGGGGCTCGGAGTGGACACCGAAAAAAATGTGGCAGCCTAGCCTAGTATGGTGTACATGAAGAAACCGCCAATGCAATGTCAGAGTCTTTGGAGTGGTGAAAGCTTTCAAACTTGATCACGCAAAGCAATCTAACTGTTTTTATATGGAAACGACCAACAAATAACCTTGAAGAGTTGACCAATTTCACGCCCATCAACTCTACAATTTTTTTTCAGCCCTTCCTTTATAAACAATACACCCCCTCAGCTATTGCCACGTGTAACATACACACTTCAAATAATCAAACTCACCCTCATAATCACTTTCTCCCACCCCTTTTACCTTACCTCCTCATCTTCTGGAGACGTCGCAAATGCTCAACCACGCCCTACCGCTCCCGTTTGCTGCAAAAACAACATGTATCCCGAAATAAAGAAAAGGCTCGTTTACAGCGAAGTGGAGAGGCATGACATCGAAATTGATGTGTAGATGCGCAAGATGACTGTGTATGAAAACTCATGAAGAAATGATAACTAAAGGCATTAAGGCAAGGCAAGGCAAGGCAACTCCTTTCGCGGAGATAGGCGGCTTTTGTGCACCTGGAAAGCCACCTGAGGTGGCTCAGAGTGAACGATGTCATATACATCCTCCTCCTCACATTATTATTCACACTTTTTGTAATTATAATCTATATTCAAAATCCTATAATTCAGTTTTGTAACCATCTTAAATCCTCTCCCCTCCGCTACATTACAGTCCTTCAAAAACTTTAAATTGCTGCGGTGATTGTGCTCCAAGCGCGTAGCGGTGCCAGGGCCCGGCACGCGTTGGTTTGGAGCATTTTTGGAAACGAAGTCCCCCATAACGTAAATATCAGTAAGGAAACCCTTATTCAATCAAAATAACAATAAAAAAGCGGAAAAAGCGCATTTTGAGGTATTAAAGGCAGTGTACGGGTAAAAACTCGATCTTGAGATTTTTTGCTTACCCGGGCCTATTCGCTACGCTGAATCCGAAAATGCACATTGAAGAGCGCGAAAACGGCGAGAAACGGCTCTAAAACGGGAGGGAAAGTACAAGGTGGGCGGGGTCCTCCCCACTGTGAATTCACGCTCCCAGCTTCCAGAGCGATCTTCTCGGTTCCGATTTTAAGTCATGCATTCGCACCTGGCCGGTGGAGATCTCAGAGCGCTAGAGGAATTGGGAAGAGCGCTCCAGAAGCTGGGACTGCGAAATTCACAGTGGGGAGAGCCCCGCCCACTTCCGATTTCCCTCCTGCGTTAGAGCCTTTTTTGCCGTTTTTGCGCTTTCCAATGTGAATTTTCGGATTCAGCATAGTGAATAGGCCCGGGTAAGCACAAAATCTCAAAATCGACTTTTTGCCCGAACACTGCCTTTAATATAACAAAAAGGAGAAAGAAAACATTTCGAGTTGATTAAAGGCTCCTCATTAGGTAGGGTACCACTTTAGTGCTCAGAACGTCGAAAACTTTCTAGGCCAACCAAATCTGTGGCCTCAACAATCTGGTGATGCATTTTTCGCCACATAGTTGAAAGGACACTGCGTGCGATTGCAGCGCAATATCTATCAACGCATAGATTTACACTACTTTTAGCTGAAAAAAAGAGGAGAGGCAATAGTTTGATTCGCTCTCTTCACCATATGATAGATTTTTGACCGCTCTACTCGTCCAAATCAAATAGAGCCAAAACTTATGTGAACTCTCCGATATTTATGCGTTTGGTGTTGGTCTAAAAACCAACAAATTCGGGAACGGATATTAGGACACATAAGTTTTGGGAACTTTTTATATTAGGACACATAAGTTTTGGGAACTTTTTATATTAGGACACATAAGTTTTGGGAACTTTTTACATAACATAGTTTGGAGTAATATTGTATACACATAGCCCAAATTAGGAGTCATGTGATTTTTTGTGCGCTGTAAACAAGCCATTTGCTTGTTTGAGTCTTGCGTTTAGAATTCGCGCGCTTGCGAAAGAACACGTTCAACTCGTATAACCTGACATGTTCGTCGCCCTTCTAACGGCGCTTCCTCCAGGACCTTATAAAAACGATATCCCCGTTGCTTCTAACTTCAAAAACGAAGTCCAGTTTGACCCCAGATCATTTGTGGTAGGTTCTGAGCGGTGCACGCTGGACACAGAATGCCACCATTGCGAGAGGTACAAGCTTCACAAGTTTTTTGAATCGGCTCTTCCGTTTTTCTCCCACTCTTTTCTACTCTTTTCTCATGAATGTTTGATTGGGATGTCATAGGGGATGTCGTATAATTGTTATGAAATCAACGGGGACCTCGTTCTCAAAAAAATTGTGAAAGCCACCTTGTGCGGAGCCCTGGTAAGAGTAATGATAGCGATGAAAGATACGCCGCCGCGCCCTGTCTCCGTGTGCGGTGACTATGTTGTAGTTGCTATCACCTCTTTCACCTGATACACCACAATTCGGTGTCGTACAAATAGCTGCCAAAAGGAATATGCCATGAAATAGATATTAGCTTCTAAAGTAAAATATGCTCTGCTCTGCTTTACTCTGGATGAACGTAATTTAAGAAAGCTTAACACAAATATTAAAGATTTCATTAGAAGACAGATGTCATTCAAAAACACGCTGAGACTGATGCATACCAGGACCCGGTACGAGGTGGGCAAAATGGGCAAATGTCAAGTTGGAAAGCAAAGGGGATATCGTGAATATATGCGTAAATGTACATAACCTTCTCAGCAAGTTGCTGCACGACTGAAATGCAAAAACACGATCTTGCTCGTGCGTCATCTTCAAAAATCAGCTTTTTTTTCATTGAGTTGTAATTAAACTACTACTACTCGGTTACAGCGCACACATAGCGATATGACTAGGAAATTAGCATCTAAATGAACTAAACTAGGAGGAGCATATGCAGAGTATCGCGGAAAAATTATGTGACTGAAAGTTGTGGCAACCTTTTTTCTGAATCACTACCACAGAATGAAATGGCTCGTTTGCAACGCCCAGATGACCGTATGGCACGAGATTCGGTGTGTGTACGCGTAGTTGGACTAAGGAATAAAGCATGAAGAATTATGAAAAACTTATGTGAATAAAAAGCGTGCTTACTTTTTTCCGCATTAGGTGGGCAATGGCCCACTCAATGCGGAAAAAAAGTAGCATTGCCTTGAGGTATGCGAAAATTCCTTACATAAGATTTTCAAAGTTTTTACATAGATCTGTTCTACACCCGAAGTTTAGCATGTAATAACATTTTTCTTCCAAAGCTCCTCCTCTCCTCCTTGTTGGGATCCGGTGTAGAACGACACCGCTCTTTTTAAGGAAGAAAGCGCGCTTAATCGAACAACCTACGCAGATGGCGGGATCAAGTGAAAAATCGTAAAAGTTGACAGTGGCAAAGGTGACGATTCACCGTCCATTTGCCACCTTCGTTCTGGTCCCTGATTACCACTACCAAGACCCATCGCACCAGAAGACTGTTATAAAAATATGAGCTTGCCTACGCATTAGAGCCAGCTCATTCTGTACTGATTTCCCTTTGTTCTTCCTTGCTGCGACTGAGACTTGGCTTCGTTCTATCAAGTTGGCTGCAAGATAATTTGATCGTATTTTAACGGTTTGTAGAGGTGTTCAATGACACTTGGTAACATTAAACTTGCTTCGAAAAAATTGGTCAACTTTGTTTTAACAAAAGTTTTTTTACGAATAGACAAGTGGGATATCAAAGTAATTCAGTTCTCAATAAAAAATCATGCTTCGAGTCGCTAATAGTAGCTTATAGTCAAATGTAAACTGTAGAGTTGGGGCGCACATACTATTTGGATTTTTCAATTTGGTATGGCCACACATGGTCAAAGTGAAGCATTTTGGACTTTCCAAAAATTGACATCAATTGTTAGGAACTTTTGAAAAAGACCATAGAAATTGCAGACTGCCGTGATGATATTTATAATAGTTCGCAGTGTAGCCCGTGTAGCTAGCTCGCACGTGTTCAATTCCCAAACTCAACAGCAAAAACAAGTTTAGAAAGCCAAAAGTCAAAAGACGCAGGTCTATTTTTTCCAGGAATCAAATTTTTTTTTGAAGCTAAAAGAAATTCCAAAATTAACCCTAAAATCAGTGCAAATTAGTCCGATCGTAAAATATGCTGTGTAAAGAAAATTTCTGGATGTTATTCATTACTATATGAAAACTTTTCTTTATGTGGTTATCTCCCCCCCCCCCCCCCCACCCGCGTATTCTATGCTGAATTTCTACACAGCTGTTTATGTCGGTCGTTGTCATGGTAACAGACCTTGCACCGATGCCAGCAGCATTTTGTCTTTAGCCTGACTTATGTGTTTATTCTAATAAAATCATGCAGCTATTGAATTCTACAGTGAACTACAACGAAAAGTCCATCAATGGATGTTCTTTATTACTTACAAGAAGGGTAAGCAAGTGATTTATCGTTACAGGTTTTTCAACATTCATAGAATCAGAAATTGCTTCACATAATTCGTGAAATATAGCGTTTTTATTATAATTTTGTATCTGTGACTACCGCGCATAACATCTGAATTTACACTTTGGGGAAAATAAATAAAAGGGGGTCAACGAAAATGATCCATTTTTTAATAGTACCTGATGGCTCGTGAGAAAATTTAAGGGGAAAATTGGCCAAAAAAATTGGCAAATCAGTTGATACGTTACTCACAACTCAATTGTCACACAATAACCCCGGGACCATAAAATTTTTTATGAAATATTCATTGTTTCTATTGTAGGTCAAAGTGCCGGGGAACACCACACTCGCCTGCGTCGAATGGAACCTAAACACAAATTTTCTTGCCAGCGGTGGCTCTGGAGGACTTCTCAAGGTCATAAAACTAACCCAAGGTCTGGAATTGCGTAGAATCAACTAGTCTGGAAATTTCGAGCAAAATTTAGAAGATTCTGTCGTAGGAAGTGCCATGAATATGCCTGTAAATCAAGCACTAGAGGGACACAGTGGTGAGTTAAGAGTTGTTATTAATAAAGTGATTTGTTCGCGATATTTTGCAATTTTTACAGGAACAGTGAATTGTGCTGCATGGAATGAAGTACATCAGAAACTTACGACGAGCGATTCGAATGGTCTGATTATTGTGTGGAGCTTGCATAATGAAACTTGGTATGAGGAGATGATTAACAACAGGTCATGTCTTTTTTTGCTAATTTTTCGAATTATGGTTAAAATAATCATATTTATTAATGACTAGCTGGCTTACCCGGCTCCGCCGTATCCGGACCAAACTTGGCACACATACACTTCGGGCCCCGGCGGGTGTCACAGTCCGCTTTTCGTTATCGATCGATGTCGATTTTACCGATTTTTTATCGATTTTTTGCAGAGTTCACCTACAGGGCTAGGAGTTGGCACAAGGGGGTAATCGAGCATGGGGATTCCGAATACAATATTAGTTTTCAGAATTATCGATTACTTTTATTGATTTTATCGATTTTTTGTAAATTTTGACATGCGAGGCTGGGATTTTGCACAGGGGGGTAATCGAGCATGGGGATTCCGAATACAATATTGGTTTTCAGGATCGTCCATTACTTTTATCGATTTTATCGATTTTTTTGTAAAGTTTGACCTGCGGGGCTGGGAGTTTGCACAAGGGGGTAATCGAGCATGCTGATCACCCCCCTTAGGAGTGATCAGCATGCTCGATTACCCCCCTGTGCCAACTCCCAGCCCCCTAGCTCAAACTTTACAAAAAAATCGATAAAATCGATAAAAGTAATCGATAATCCCGAAAACCAATATTGTATTCGGAATCCCCATGCTCGATTACCCCCCTGTGCGAACTCCCAGCCCCGTAGCTCAAACTTTGCAAAAAATCGATAAAATCGATAAAAGTAATCGATAATCCTGAAAACCATTATTGTATTCGGAATCCCCATGCTCGATTACCCCCCTGTGCCAACTCCCAGCCTAGGTGAACTCAGCAAAAAAATCGATAAAAATCGATAAAATCGATATCGATCGATCGAAAAGTAGCCTATGACACCCGCCGGGGCCCGTAGTGTATGTGTGCCAAGTTTGGTCCGGATCGGTTCAGAAATGGAATTTTCTATTCGGAACATACGTACACACAGACAGACATACAGACAGACATACAGACAAACAGACATTCAGCTTTATATTAGGTTGTCCTAAAAGTTCTTGCGCCGGATTTTCAAAAAATCATAACTTCCTTTCTTCTCAACGATTTTTCTCAAGATTATTTTTGTATGAAAGAGGAAACCTCTTTCTTTATAGCGGTGCCTTTGCCATGAACTGGCGTTGGTAAGCTCGAGAGTTAAAAGAAATTGAAGGAAATTAGTCAAGATCGACATTTTTCAAGCTCGATCACGAAAAATTCTGGAACTATTTTTATTTGATAGAGAAAATTTTGCACATTACAGTGGTACCTTTTTCATGAATTAAAACGAAGTAGATCGAGGGTTAGAAGCAAATTAACAGAATTTCTTTATCTTTGCAATTTTTGAGCATGATCAAAAAAGCTTGAAAACGTCACAGAAAAGGCGAAAAAGTCACAAACATGGGTTTTGTGACCTTTCCTTTCTAGCTGAGCGAAAATCGTGCCAATCAGGAGCAATTTTCATTTTCGCGAAAAAAGCAGACCCGAAAATCCGAATAAATCACGGAAATCAAAATTGCTACCGATTGGCACGATTTTTGCTCAGCTAGAAAGGGAAGGTCACAAAACCCATGTTTATGCCTTTTTCGCCTTTTCTGTGACGTTTTCAAGTTTTTTTGATCATGCTCAAAAATTACAAAAATGAAGAAATTCTGTTAATTTGCTTCTAATTCTCGATCTACTTCGTTTTAATTCATGAAAAAGGTACCACTGTAATGTGCAAAAATTTCTCTATCAAATAAAAATACTTCCAGAATTTTTCGTGATTCAGCTTGAAAAATGTCGATCTTGACTAATTTCCTTCAATCGCTTTTGACTCTCGAGCTTACCAACGCCAGTTCATGGCAAAGGAACCGCTATAAAGAAAAAGGTTCCCTCTTTTATATAAAAATAATTTTGAGTAAAATCGTTGAGAAGAAAGGGAGTTATGATTTTTTGAAAATCCGGCGCAAGAACTTTTAGGACAACCTAATATATAAGATTATTCATATTATAATTCATATATTATTCATATAATTCAATAATATGAACCATAATTAAGTAGTTTATCGTAGTAATTCAAGAAATGGATTTTGGAGGGAGAAGGCAACCTTTGAGCAAAGGGCTTGGCGATTAGTACGCACTTCAATAAATGTACACACTCCAAAAATTTTCCGGGATGTTTGACAAATTTGATGTGCCGTCAAAGAAAAATTTTCTTATCAAGGTACAAAACACGGCTGATATATGGCAATTCCTAACTACAAAAAAACTTTATTTTTCGGAAAAGTTGACCTATCTTCGATTAGTCCTGCGTAAAATTTGGAGATGAAAGTTTCATTTCAGAAACAAAAGCGTTGTGGTTGGTATGGCATGGAACTACGATGGTACCAAAATAGCTATAGCATATCAGGATGGTCAGTCAAATAAGACTTAAGCAACAAGGATTTTGAATTGTCTTTGTCGTAACCGCCCAATCTCTTTAGCTCCCTTCATTAGGGTAATTTGTTCCTGTCGCCTATAGTCAATCAAAGTAAATGGAAATAGGAGGAGTTTGCCTTAATCGTTCAGAAAAAAATATTTAGGGCAAGTGATAGTCGGCACAATGGATGGTAATCGCATCTGGAATAAAGAGCTCTCCGCAAATGTTGCGGCCTGTGAAGTAAAGTGTCTGAGAAGTTCTGTTAACTAATGAACTGATATTATTTAGTGGTCACCGAATGGAAATTTGCTTCTGTTTGGCATGGCAGATGGAGAGGTTCACACCTATGATGCTCAAGGAACTTTCATAGTGGGTTTGAATTTCTGAATAACCAGCTCAGCGAGAATTAGATTGTATTAATAGAAATATTTTTAAAAAATATTACATACATATTAATAGAACATGACGGTGAAAAAATAAAGCTGGATTTTCCAAGCATATTTGAAATAGCTCCCAGCCTTCAGAGCTTGGTCATATTTACGCGGATAAAGCCAAAATTTTACGTTTGCTCGACATTTTTATTTCAGGAAAAACTGCACATGGTGGCTCTCGAAAACGTAGAGCTTGAGACAGCACTAGCAAGTAAGCTTCTGAAACCCATTCCATTAAATCTAACTTAGTATGCTTTCTTAGAAGATTTGCGCAAGGACAACATTATCGCCTTGAAGTGGTTTGCACCCGTACAGAAAAGCCGAATCGCTGATAATGGTGAGTAAATCTTATTGTATAAGTTACTTTTTCAGCCGTAAAAAACCCAAAGCACCTCAATGGCCAAAATTGCTGAAATAATTGTATTTTTTCTAGACTCACCCGTCATGCCTCGTCTACCAAGATACCAATCGCTTGATCTCCCTTTCGTATCTGACCAAAGACCCGATCAGAAGCCTAAACTCTTGATTGCATATGCTCATGGTGTCGTACAACTGATGAGAAATGAAAATGATGTCTGTAAGTTTGATTTTTCTAAGCACAAAATGAATGTTAGGTAGTTGGGAAAATGAATTTTGATTAAATTAAAGGTTGTCACATATTTACACTTTCTCCGTCTTACTTCAGCAAATGATATTTCATATTTAAGAGGACTAAACCAAGGGCCATCCATAGGCATAATTTTACTTCCCAAGGATTTGGGCAGTAGGTATAAGGCAATTTCGTCGGCAGTTCAACTCCCCATTTCTTTTTATTTTCAGAATTTTTCCAGTTGTTTTTGAGTTTTCGATTCTCAAAGCTTTTAGTGGTGATAAAAACGCAGGTCGATTTGCCGTTTATTTATTCAAATAAATTTCAAATAATTCAAAAACTGGTGTTTTGTACCTTCAATGTAATTTGAAAATGAGAAAAAAAAATTATTCAAGAAAGTTGTGAAGATTCATTCCTTGAAGGTAAGAAAACTTATGCTCCAATGTAATAATCTTATGTCCAAATAGTAGAAACTTACCGACAGCAAAGTTATTTAGTTTTAAAGTCATCAGTGTAGAATCTATAAATCTTTTTCTTCAGCCCCAATCGTAGCTCGATTTCCCCAACTAACAATGACTTGTGCTCGTTGGTGCCCAAATGGAAATTTCTTTGCTGTGACTGGACAACAACTCGATATGCCTGTGCAGGAAAGCTTTGTTGTACATGTGGTTACTGCATATGGCGTGGTAAGTTATCTTCTACAATTTTTGCTTATTCAAAAAATCAATTTTGAAGAAACTGTCTTCGCTAAAACTGCACACATCATCACTGACTGGATGCTCATGGGATCCAACTGGCGTAAAACTTGCTTTATCGGCAGAAAATCTAATTTGGTTCGCGAATGTTCGACCGAGATACAAAGTGAGCATGAGTCAAATTTTTCAAGGAGTAAAACATATTGCAAATTTTACAATCTGTTTTTAGTGGGGGTATTGCGGTAATACCGTCGTTTACTCTTATGAAAGAGCAGAACGAGGTGATTACCGTGTCGTATTCTACGAGACGAAGCTCGACGAATCGTATTCAAAGCCGGTTAGACAACTTGAGCAAATCGCTGCCAGTAATGATTACTGTGTAATCGCAAGTCATCCAGAAGATTCGATGGGAAAGGTGAGAATCTTATAGCTTCTTTAAACTATTTCCCATGCAATATAAAATTATGAGAATAAAGAAAATTTCAATTGCAGCAAATCTCTAGTATCCTCAAAAGCGAATACTTTCAATCAATTTTGACTCGTACTCACTTTTGAAATTGATCTATCAGTTTGGAAAACAGCAAAAAAAGACATTGTGCGAAAAGACCGAAATGGTGTACCTGATACTATAGAAATGTTATTATTTCAGTGTCTTCTACAACTCTGTAACAATATTGGTACCTGCATCGACCTCAAGGTATGCCTTAGGTGTTTATAAAATCATATACAAAAACATATGTGTGCGGAAAGAAAGCGAAAAATGTAGCATTGACAGTACTATCAATATTTTACAATATACCTTACTATGAAGTCAAATGGTAAGGAAATAAACCAATTCGGTGTAGAAAAAGTAGTTAGCTGATGTTGTTTCGGTGAACAGCGATTGGAAATTATGGAATATGCCTCATATAACAATAATTTAGGCTCCATATGTGGATAAACATCTAACAATGAGTATTTTTTTATCAGGGCTGCACATAACCTTTCGTTGATTTCTTTGTAATCTTTATTCATGCTAGATACCAGGTGTTCACACCCTCTCACTCGTTAGAAGTCCTCTACTATTTTTTGTTCCCGTTTACAGAATTTTTATTGCTGTCCCCAAAACCCCAAGCTTCCTAAACCGTTTTTTTTTCAGTATGTCGAAGTTGATCCCGTCAGTGTTTCTCTCAACAACTGGGTAGCTGTCGTGGCTGGCGGCGATTCCTACTTCATCTGGCACTTCTCTGTGCCACATAAGACTGCTCTTCCAAGGCAAGCTGGCCACACAAACGAGGATAGGTTGGTATTTCTTGATATCGTTGTTGTTGGTAGAAACCAATTTCTATTTAGGGTGCATAAGCTAGACGATGCTGCGCTAGCAAAGGATGTGATTGGAAGGAGAAAGGTAGATTCAATTTCAACTTATAAGCAGAACTAGTATGACAACATGATTTATATAATTATTCGTACGCCCATAAGCGTGGTGTATTTCGCCATTTCTGCAGAAAAAAAATGTGTTTCAAGGGAAAAGTTAGTCACAAAGTACAATGGGATAGGCAGTAGTGAGGTGATTGTTTGTTTTCAGTTACTCTTATATGTAATTTTTTTTGAAATTAGATAAGTGACACAAGAAGTAAGCTAGCAAGACATATTTCCAAGTCGTGGAAAGTCGACAAAAATAAATCAAAATATAAAAAATCAAGGAACGTGAAACCTCGAACATATTCTGTCATCAAGTTTCCTAATGATTATCGAACTAGCTCTTACAACAAAAGTAACATAGGCTATAACCTTTGATTCAATTGGATTGGCGGCTGGAAGGCGGGCTCTGTGACCTAAGTGAGGCCGCTCGCGCCCGCGACGCAGTCTGCGTCTCTTTCGCGCGCGTGGCTCTCTGATCATTCCCTAGCCTTAAGTAGAACGAAGCTCCGCCTTCCAGCCTCCAATCGAGTTGACTCAAAGTACATCTTTGAGCAAATGTATTTTATGTGTGTATATTTTTTTTATTTTCACATCATTAATTTTAGCGACCTCCTGACCAGATTATACTAACTTGTATGGGTACAAAATTCTCCCTTCTCGTGAGTTTGCTCTGAAATAGTGGAGGAGCCTCATACCTACTTTTTCCTATTACAGTATTGTGATTCCGGCAATGTTTACAAGGTTTCGTTACATGATGGATCCATACAAGAACGATATATTTTCATACCAAATGTTACAAAAATGGAGCTGAATACCTCATGTAAAAAACTGGCAGCAGTCGGTTAGTTATCTTGAGCCAAGATTTATATAAATCAACTGACTTGTGAAACCTGATGCTTATTAAGACACAAACAATCTTCTGCAAGTTTTTGAAGTTGGTGAAAACGCATTCGACAAAATAAGCGGCATGGATGTCAGAGAAGTTGCTGACTTTAAATGGGATGAGGAACAAGATGATTCTATTGCATATCTTTCCAAGCAGAAACTTGTTGTCTTACGAGGAAAAGAAGCTGAGGAGGGAATTACATGTGAAGGGTAAGTCTTTAGAGTTTTTTGCTTCGGTCAGAATATATAAAACAGATTTAGATACATTTGTTCATTCCGAGGATTAGTGGTTCGCACCGTTCTGCTGGATAATTTTCTCTTGCACAAGGCCAAAGCTGACGGGAGATTCATAATTGATGTCGAAATCAAGGTAAAAGAGCTCAGTTAAAAATGGTCAACGATCTGAATTTATAAGTTGTCCCATAATTTTTTCCATATTCGGACCAACAAATTGATCAAGAACTAAGGCTCGTACATACAAAGTGCAAATTTTTTGAGAGAAACGCAGAACTTATTTGAATGAAGATACGACTTTTTCAGACTTCTCAAGCATTTAAAGGCAGTGTCCGGGCAAAAACTCGATTCTGAGATTTTGTGCTTATACGGGCCTATTCGCCATGCTGAATCCGAAAATCCACATTGGAAAGCGCGAAAACGGCGAAAAGGGCTCTAATATAGGAGGGAAATCAGCAGGTGGGCGGAGCTTTCCCCAGTGCGATTTCACGCTCCCAGCTCCCGGAGCGATTTTCTCGATTCCGCTAGCCGTTCTAACATCGCTACCGGCCAAGTGCGAATGATTGACTTGAAACCGGAAGCGAGAAGGTCGCTCCGGAAGCCGGGAACGTGAATTCGCAGTGGGGAGGACCCCGCCCACCTGCTCATTTCCCTCCTGTGTTAGAGCCGTTTTTCGCCATTTTCGCGCTCTACAATGTGCATGTTCGGATTCAGCGTAGCGAATAGGCCCAAGTAAGCACAAAATCTCAAAATCGAGTTTTTGCCCGGACACTGCCTTTAAAGTGCCTAAGCTCTAGGTATCAACATCAAGTGGTAAAGTTTGTTTGGATGTTCAAAACCCACTACTGTTCTCGGTAAGAAATCAAAGTTGAGAAAAATTGTGAGGCAACAAAAAGAACCCAACTTTGAAATCATTAGAAGTCGAGCACTTTGTGCAATTCTCTGATTTCATCCCTCTAGCGGTTGGAAATTGTCGTACTGCTACTTTTTATGTTTTTGTAAAATAACTTTACCAAGTTACTGAATCTCGCAATTTCAGTCTCTTCGCGATGCAAAACAACTCTTGGAACGTCTGAAAATCGAAGAAGCAACCGAATTCATTGGCAAAAATCCACACCCGCGTCTTTGGTAAGTCAGAACTTCACCTAGAAGATTAAGTGAACTCATCAATTTTCGAATATCTCAAAGCGATCAATAACCCGAAACATGAATTATAGGAGTCTACTTGCCGAAGTTGCGCTATTAAAAGTGGATATACCAACCGCTGAATACGCTTACGTAGGTTTGAGATTTTCATTCGCGCAGAAATAGGAATATGAACTACATTTTCAGGCAAAATTGCACGATTATAGCGGATTACGCTTCTGCAAGAGGATTGTGGAGATTCAGGTAGATGTTTTGTAGAGAGTTTTGTAGTTTTTTTCCCTGTTTTGTAGAGATTTTTACCCTGTTAATCACCACGCTTTTACAGGATCGTGAGCTGAAAAGAGCAGAAATTTTTGTCCATTTGGGAAGAATGGCAGATGCCGAGAAAATTTACCTGGATCAGGATAGAAGGCAAACTTTCTTAGAAAAATACTTCCAGAAATGGAGATGAAATTTTGATTCTAAAATTTCCAGAGACTTGGCTATCGCTATGCATAAGAAAACTGAGGAATGGTTACGTGTGCTGAGACTGACAAGCACAATTCAGGGTGGTTCTAGCGACAAAGGAAAGACTGAAGCACTACTGAAAGTGGCTGACTATCATAGAGACAGGCAGCGATGGTCGGGACGGTTTGACCTGCTATTTTCCACAAAAAACCTTAATTTTAGGAAAGAAGCTGCCGATCATTATGCCCTCGCAAAAAAGCTCGAAGAACTCGTAGTTTGTTACATTCATTTAGATGACTTCGCTAGTCTTGAAAATCTTGCCCGTCAGTTGCCAGATAATCACCCTCTTCTCGCGGTAACACAAACTTTGATATTGTAGAATTTTTATGAAAAGTAAAAAAAATCTGTTTCAGACAATCGCTGAGCTATTCGCTTCATCAGGACTTTGTGAGCAAGCTGTGCAATGTTTTCTTCGATGTGATCAGGTTTCAAACGCTCTCCAAACTTGTATTCAACTCAATAATTGGGATAAGGTTATATTTTTCTTCAACACCATTTAATTTATTCGAAAAATATTTGCTGTAGGCAGTTTCGCTATCAAGAACTCACAGTCTCGAAGATGTAAACGTATTGATGGGGAAATACGTGGAAGAACTCAATGAAAGCAGTGAGCGATCTTTGGCAGCCGTTCAACTTTACAGAAGAGCGCGAAAATATCTGGATGGAGCACGGATTGTGTTTAGAGTGGGTTATTTGAGATAGTGAATTACGAAGACAAATTGAAAATGTGTGAGCTGTGATGCATTTCACGCAACTAGGGTAGGGCACTATACCTATTTCACGCAACTAGGGTAGGGCGTATACCTTGCCGAAAAAGGAGGTCTTGCGATGACATCTGCACCAAATACGCGTCTATGCAAGCAATAGGTGCATGCTTGTTGCAGATGTCCGCGCGGGACCTCCCCCCGGCGACGTACGGCCCTCCAGCGCAATTGCTCTGGAACAGCATGGGGTTGCCAAATGAACTTACAGTCTGGCTACGTGCCATATTTTCTTTTTATCTCAAAATTTTGCAGATGGCAGAAGACGAACGCAAGAAAGCAGCTCCTTGTCTTCGTCTCAAAAAGATGTACATCTTGGCAGCGCTTCTGATTGAGGAATACCACCAAAACTATAAGGAGCGACTATCGAAGGAACAAGGCGAAGGAGGATCGAAGGTATTACTACATAAATAACTTTGGCGTAGGCCTATTTGCACTACTGTAATCTTATTAGGACATTTCCATACAGGACCGCAGCCGCGTTGGAGAAGTTTTGCCCACGCAGAGTGGCTTTTGCATACTGTAGTGCAAAAAGGTCGTTTTCCTTATAATGTTTCGAAATTAGCTCATGGCATCATTTCTCTTGCCTTGCAAAGACACAATGAGTAATCCTCCTCTCATCATAACTGTAATTACCGTTCAGACTACAGCCGTGCTGAACGAGCTCCTAGAAGAGGATGACAATCTTTCCATGGAAGATTCACGAATGATTGATAATGCATGGAAAGCGGCACAAGCGTACCATTTTCTTATGTTAGCTCAACGCCAGCTGTACGAAGGTAAATCTCTTCAAATTACCTGTAGGAAATGAAAAAAAACCTTTTTTTAGGTAATCATGCCGCAGCTATGAAAACAAGCTTGTATTTAACAGAGTTTGAAGCGTACATAGACCCCATGGAGATATATTCGCTACTGGGTATGTGCGACAGATACCCCGTATTGATTGATCGGTTTCTACGAAATAGAATCGAGGAAACATTTTCAGCCTTATCGTCTTGTGCATGCCGCAACTTCTCCATTTGCAGCCGCGCATTTATGAAGCTGGAGTCACTCACCGATCCACAATCGGAGGAAAGGAAAAGATATCAGAAACTCGCTTTGCAGCTTTTTCGAAGGTACCTCATAGTTGAATATAGGCGATTGGTCACGCGCAGAGATAAGACGCCATTACGGATGTTATCTGTCGACGTGTCCCTGATTGGACGCCACCTCATCTCTCTCACCGAAGACGAACTATCTCTGTCGGGCGCAAGGGCGTCTAGTCTCTGCGTGCCATAACTCGCCTGTACCCTATGATTTGATCGTGCACTTTACAGATTTCCTCCTACAGAACCGCAAGCCAAATTGGTGAATTGCACTGGATGTGATAAAAGTGTGGCCGACTATGAGCACTCATGCTCTCACTGCAACACGAAAGTAAGTAATTGAGTGACGAGAAACTTGCAACCTTACTTTTTCCTTTCAGTTCCCGGTATGCATAGTGAGTGGAAGGCCGATGTTTGCGTATCAGTTCTGGTTATGTCCAACATGCAAACAACGAGCTTATGAGGAAGAAATTAGAAATCACAAGTTTTGTCCTCTGTGCCACACTGCAATAGCATAATAAATTGTGTATTCTATAAAAGTGTATATTTAATTTGACCAGCTTAGTTGAGACCAATCCAGTTGTGATACCCTTTGATTCAACAAGATTGGCGGCTGGGGCGACCGCTATCACCCGCGACGCAGTCTGCGTCTCTCTTGCGAGCGTGCTCTCCGATCTTTCTCTAGCCTTGATTAGGCCTCGAAGCCCCGCCTTCAGCAGCCAATCCGTGGGCTCAAAAGGTAATTCCACATTGTACAATATCGAGGAAGCAAGTCGTTTGAAATCGCCAATCGTCTCATATGCGAACTGCTTACATATTAGGTTGAAACAAAAGTCTTGCACCAAATTCAATAATTCAGGCCCTTCTATAAATTTGAAATTCATTTGATGTGACATAAGTTAGAGGAGAGGAATAATGCTCTATTTAGTAGCGCTTAAGGCGGATTGTCATCGCGCAGTAAAAGTTCATAGAAACAAGCTTACAAATCTATCTTGTAAGTATAAAAATTCTAATTTTTAGTTGGTCTCCAGAACTACTCTTTTCAACCAACTCAAATTTGCTTACGAATTTTGGATCTCGTAGAAATAACATTGCTGCTTCTAGCCCAGCTCGAAAATTTTTGCGTAATTCAAATCAATGACATACAAAACCTTCATCTAAGTCCATGACTTCATATTCAAGGAAATACAAGGAAGTTTGAATTTACTATAATTTTCTGATCTTTTTAGTTGGCTAGACCTGAGAAGCTAACTTTCAAACATGGCATCTCAAACTTCGTGGTTATGACTTTTGTTGTAGGAGATATTGGTGTCTAGCGAGCTCGAGAAATCTTTAAAAAAATTTTTCTTACATAGCTCTTGTCTACACATTGCTGTGGCAGGCTTCAATCTTACGTGAGAATACAACTCGTTAAAAAATTCTATTTTGCAGGAATAACTATGAATTCATAAGGAAGTGGCTCAATTTTGCAAAAACGTGATCATAAGGTGCGTCACAATCTTTGCTGACCTTCAGAAAATTACAGACTTTGTGCAGACCTTGAATGTTGTTCATGAATTCTATAGCTCTATAGCGTCATTCATCCAGCTTTGAATGATTCAACGTGATAGACAACATAGCAGCGTGTTTTTCGTTATCAATGTGCTTTATCCATTAATGTTCTGATTAGGAAATTAATTAAAACGTTAGTCATTTGGATAAAAAAAATCAAATCATTTAATTTCGCGATTAATAAGAAATTCTGAAGTTTGGTGTCAGCCATACTCAGGCTATGATTGTTTGGTGTTCGGAATATTGCAGTTTATTGCAGTTTTTCCTCTTTTGTGAAGATCTTGAGACCTTGACTATTTTAGTGCTATGAAAGGGAAAAATAATTGAATTCCATTACTATTATTTTTAACAAAAGTCTTGCACCAAACTGATCAAAAGCGTGATAACTCATTTTTCTCCCTTACCCTGGGTAGGTCTGGATACCATTCGATAGAGCAAAACACGCCCTGGATTGTATGTAAACATTAGCACCGAATCAATCAAGCGAATTTTCGATTCAAAAAATAAAAAGATCATCCCAAAGAAGCGAGAAAAAATCGAACTGCGCCCAAAAAATCTTTCTGAAATCCTAGCTTGCTCACGCACATGCATTCCATATCACATCTATATATGCATTTGGCTTTTTTCCCTCGATGAAAAATCGAGAGAACAAAAATTTGCAAGTTTTTACCAAAGCAGTGCCAAGCCGTTTCCCCATTATCAATGAATGCGACAATCCAACCGTGAATTTTTAGCTCTCTACAAGAATTAGTCTTCGAGAATCATCAAATCTAGCTCATTTCGTCCAACTTTTCTCTGTCAAATTCGTCTATATTTGTTATTCTTTCCTCGAATATTAGCTCCAAATTATTCAAGCTTGAAAATTTACGGTTCTACTTCTAAAGGCTTGCGAAGAACACTTACTAATTAGGAAAAAGCTCAGAATTACTTTGTTAATAGCTGGAGTAATATTGTTTTCTTGGTTTGCATATAAGTTTGACTGCATAGGAGTGAGCAAGTCAGAATTGTAGGATTTTTTTGAACTGATTTCCTAATTCTTCTAAATTTTTGAAGCTAGACCTTTTTGGTTTTCTGGCTTCAAACTTTGCGTGAATTGAAATGATAGGTTAAAGTTTGATAACCTACTTTGCTCTTTCGAATGGTACTCTAAATTCTACCTGGGATCTGTGGGTAATACTTATAGTTTGTTTTTACCTATTTTGTGCTAGACATACATTCCAAATATGGTTTTGATTCTCTGTTGTATGAATTCAATCACGTTCAAGGGTCAACCCCAAGCTGGAGTGACCAGAAGGCAGTTTTCTTGGGAAAATTTACCGTTTTTCTTCCCCCTACCCCTAAATTCTCCCAAAGCACTCTGGCCACTTCCGCGACTCAATGCTCCATGTGACTAAAGCTCCATAGGCGAAAGATCTAGCCACATTGCACTATGAATGCATTTAATGCAAAATTAATCAAGTAAATGGAGCATTCATAAAAATAAGTCGCCGGGGAAATGATTTGTATACAAATCATGTACATTCATAAACAATACAGCTTTTTTCTTAGCTGAGGTAAAAATCAAAAAGCCAAACAGAAAGCTGTCGTTCATTTCGATTGTCTAGGAAGTTCCAACCATACCCCAAATCTACTACTTCCCGAGGCATTTAGACTACAGCAGCATTTGCTTCAACATGTATGTCCCAGAGACATCTTCAAATTTTGCTCACTGTGCAGATTTAGAGAAGCAAAAGTACAAATTTGTATAAGTACTTTTTCACTTTTTCATTTTAGCCCAAGAATTTGTGAATCAGATTTTTAGTATGTTTCTTAATCAAAGATCTTACGAATGTGGCAATGAGATAAGCGCAATTAATGCTTGCATTGAATAAATAAACTGTTGCAAGTGGTAAAGTTGATTTTACAATTTTACAATTTTTTATTTGTATATCAGAGGCTAGTAATGATACGCATTTCTGTGTGTTTCCAAAGCAACCGTTCTCCGAATGATGCGCTTTTTGTGATCAAATTTGCTATCTAAAGCGTCTTTCATGCTCTCTCCAATGTTTGTAGATTGCCGTTTGCGTATAAAAGACAGTTTAGGATCAGTGTGACAGAAGCTAGAAACTATTTAAGGTACGAAAAATATTTGCGTATCTCGGGCGCCAATAAGCTTGTCAATTTATCTGTATTAAAAATTATTTTAAGTATCTAGTGGGCTGTGCTAGTGTTGAAGAGCTACTCTATTCGCTAGGATTCCACAAAAATTTTTCAAATCATCTATAGCTCTAGATGGTATACCAAAAGTGATCTTCGAACACTCCTCTATCTTTCTTCAACCTAAGCAATTTTCAACTCATTCTTTATGCGTTAATTCCTGCAGTTCTCGTTTCTTCTTTATTGAAGGTCCCCTTTATCATACGAATTAGTCAACATTTAGACATCTCATTGGAGCCTAATTCCCATTTTCAGACCGCTTTATTCGCTTGTTTATTCATCCAAGCATAGTTGGCAGATGTCTATTCCTGCCACTCAAGCTCAGAACCTTGCTATCCTTAGAAGAAAATTATTGTCGGGGCCAGGTCATCTAGCTTTTACCGGGGGCTCGATAGCACCCAAAAACGGGTTCAATTCTAGTTCCAAGGGTGCAAAATTTTTGAGGTTATGTTTTTGGACATGCCGTGTTTCTTCTTATTTTACTGATGGATCTGGAGCTTCGTGTCTTGTTATCTACCATTTAGTTTTGTTTTCCTTGAGGCTAAGGAGTGGCTGGTCTCGTACGCTGTTTGAACTTTCGGATTTTTTTCCTTGATGCACCTCGTTGTGTACTTATAAATAACAAAAATTTGACGCTTACCTTTATTACGCGTGAGCAAAATAAGGAAGTCACGGTATGGATAAAACTGCATACATTAAAAATGCTTTTGAATAATGAATTTTGCTTCTATCGTAATTGCTATTTACTGCGCTTACTAAGTCGTACAGCTACCAAACTGAAAATTTCAGTCACGAGTTCGAAAAGAAATCCAATTAATCTTCTTGATAGCTAAGCATAAACGTTGAGCAATCTATTTTCCTGATTGAGTGTGATGTAAGAAGTAGCTGTTTTTGCACGAATTAATTCCCATTTTGTTTCTGGAACTATGACACGTAAGTGACCAGCGGACAGGTGGTCTGAACGTCACAGAAAACCACGCAAATTTATTTCTTTCATCTGAAACAGTTGTTGTACTATTGGCCCCTATAGCTGACGTTTATGACGCATATTCGCAGAATTCTGTAGCCATGAGGTTGAATCGCTGATCTCACAATTACTTGGTGTACTCCTTGAGGCATCGCATTTATCGTAATCACCATTCATTTTCTTGGCCATTCTCCAAGGACTACATTTTGAAACTCGAGTTTGCTTCATGAAAGTGCACCTTAACTAGTATATATGTAGTCAAAAGACTTTATCGACTTAGGTAATCAGCCTGATTGTCTCGAATTTCAAAGCATCTCCAGCTTCCTCGAAAACTTCAAGATATAGTCATGATAACCATTTTACAAAACGGCAGGGCCGATTATCCTCCACTACACCTTAAAATTTCAGATTTAATATCGAATAAGCGACGAACTGATGATGAATAGTACGATAACCCCAGTTTGGGTCGGCAAAAATGAATTTATTTTTGTTAACTTCGCACAATCAGCAATGATATTGATGGTAAGTGTGTATTATCTTTCGTTGCAAGGTTTTCAGGTCAAATTTTTTCACTACTTTTTTTCAATTGCTTCTGCAGTCTTTTCTGCGGATTTTTGAAAATTTTCTCAATTAAAAGATCTCTTTATCTTCTCGCCCAGCTCCATGCGGATGAATTAGAGTCCCTCGTGGTTAAACTTTGAGCCGCTGTGCAGTCTCTGCCAGATCTCCAGAGGAGAGAGCCGCAAGATTTTTGATAGTTTCATACATGAGTTATTGAAATGTGCGATTGATTTGTTTATACCTGTAAATAATCAAAATAATTTTTTTTCGATTTTCTAAAAATTTAATCTAGTCATATGAAAAAGATTTTTTTGGGGGACGCGGATGAAGCTACGCCCCCTTTCTTTGAAACTTGTGAGTCATGGGCCAGCGAAATTTTGGGGAAGCATATCAAAAAGTTTTCGGAGTGCGTGGCTAGCGCTACGCACCTTCATTAGAAAAAAATATTTGTGCACCGCTCCCCGAACGGAAATCCTGGTTTTGTCATTGCTTTTAGACATGACAACTCGTAATGAATCACCTGATTGCATGACGACCTCTTACAATTAGTATGTTACAAGAAGCATAGTTGTTAATTAATACTCATAGTTTTGATGACTCTTTCCTTTGGATAAAAGATATACAGCAAATGTAATGTCAAAATTCGCAGAGACAAATTATACAGCTAGGATCCAAGGGAGGAAATTTCCGCTGTAGATTTCTTTGACCTTACCAAGGGGATATTCGTTTCAGTACACGGCATAAGTATCGAAAATTACTGAGCAGATAAATCAGAGACTAACCAAGTTCAAGTTCTTGCGTAAAACTTAAAGATATCCCGGATGAAGAGTTTTGCATCAATAGGTCACTATAGGAAGTTGCATGTTGTAAGCATTCCTTCTACATACTCATTCTTGTAATAAAAAAAGACTATTTTGAATTTTTTTACGTTTCAATGAAAGAGGCTTTACTTATGTGCAACAGAAAAAATGCGAGCTTCTCCGTTTATTCCTAGAAAGACTGATGTTAAGTCATACTGCACTAGCTTATCATCTCTCACCTTTATCTCAATTATCTTGCTTGGAACTTACAGGGTGTCCAAAAGTCTTGTAGCCTAAGTTTGCATTCTTAAAAGACCAAAGATTTTCACATGTTTTCTAAAAAACTGAAGTTACAGAAGCATGACTTTGTGAGAGCCGCAGAAATCTATCTTCTCGGGTTTACAAATTTTTCCGCAGCTTGAAGTTGCAACATTCTGGTACAATTTCACGTCCACATTCCACATTACAGAGGAGGCTTTGCACTATCATCCTTACGGTAGCTGCACTTAAAAAACTGAATTGTCGAGACAGGCGAAAAAAATTTGGAAATTTTGGGTGCGTGCCACGTCCACCATGTCTTGAAACTAATTTTGGATCTGTAGAGGTGAAGCAGGCACTGGATTCAAAGTAATATTCTCCTTTATAGATGAGCTTTCAATTCAACTTGAGTGATGAGCTTGGTGTCAAAACACAATGTAGCCAATTCTTTTCTGATTTTTCGCAATTGTTTTCAAAAGCTCCAGCTTGAGGTCTACGCATGTCGCATTAAAATTCCTATAATTTTGATCGTGGTCTCTGAAACTTCTTCTTTATAGTATATTGTAGCTGGAAACTTGCTCTATCACATAGCACATTTCCTAAGCGATAGGAAGAACTTCCGTGAATGTGTGGGACGAAAATGATGATGACTACATGCATGTCACGGCCATGGCAATCGCTAACAGTTTGAGGGATTTCGTTAACCAGAAAAATTGGTTTCACGAAATTCTGGTATTGCACTGCATTTGTTATTGCTTGAGTAATGCATGCTCCAAATTTTATACCTCTGCGTTGTTTCGCACTGCTTTCATTAGATAAAATACTAGGCTACCAGACTTTCGTTGAGCAGCTAATTAGCAAGCTAACATCTCTAAATGAATCATCCTTGATCTTGCTAAAAACACATTTGCCAAAAATTTTTCCACTTCAGATATCGACACTTGGCTTTATTTGCAACACGTTGTCTTTCCTTATAATCATGCGACATCATGCGTTCAACAACTCCTTTGGATATATAATCGAATATCACGCATTTTCCAATTCTTGTCTACTTCTGATTTTCGCATGTTGGTGTACACCTTGGAAAATATTGTAAGTTTTGGGCAAACGTTGAAATTTGTTTCATTATTTACTTGTTCTCAAGTTCGGAATAAATAAACTACTGTAATTGCAGCGCTATGCCTGAAAGCTTAAGGGGAGTGAACTCAATTTTGGGACAACTGGCACTTTTCTTTGTTGAGATAGTCTTTCACTGCAGTTTGATTCTATCTATTGATCGGTAAGCTAAAGAATTTCTTGGGCATTTCTAGTTTAGCAAAAAAAGTAAAAATCTACTTCAGGCTTATTGCAACAGCTTTTCCATTGCGTTATCAAAACTGGCTCACTGACAAAGTTACTCTGAGCTTACTGGCTTTTATCACGGTTTTAGCAGCTTCTTACTGGGCCATCTACTTTTTTGGTAATGCAATAAAAGGCCTTCCTCGGACCTCACATACTCTTTAATGGATTTTTTTAGGAGACTGCAGTTTCCACTTCAGTCATAAACTTCGCATTTGGGCGTTCGAAAAACCGCAATGTACTGGGTACGGCCTAGAGTATATCGACATGATCTACCACCTATCTTTATTCGGACTCACCTCCATTTTCGATTTGATAACATTGTCAAGGCTGGAGAGACTCAGGAAAAGATTCACTGTTGAACACCATGATGTCCAAGGAGCACACGAAAGTAAACGTCGCGCTAAGAAGGAATTGCTTCTATTTGTACAGGTCAGCGCATTTGCTTTGGATATTCAACAATAAGATATTATAGAATGCTTTTTGAATGCAGCGTTCAGGCAAATCTGGACCCGTGGGGATTTTACGTGGAAAGTAATTTTGGGGCCCTAACTAAAGCACTGCCCAAGCGGCAGCGTAGGTGATTCACTAACGGCCGAAATATACGCCTCCAAGTGGACTCATGGCGCAGCCCATCAGCTTCGCGCGAGGACCCACACGAATTCTATAGGTGAACTTAAAGGCAGCGTCCAGGCAAATTCAATCGTCTCCAAATATCGAGCCATGTATCGGATAACCTCTTCTCTGAATAGCTTTCGCGAATCTGCAAAAAGCATATTGTAGTGCTGTTTCCACTTGAGTTTTCGTTGAAGAAAGACTCACTCTTCGCTCTTTCTTCGTTACTGTAGAATCACAGCAGGATCTCCAGCCCAATGTGGTCATTGCAAAGCAGCTACCATTAACACAATCATGACCATACGACCCACCGGTGGGTCGTACGAGCCTTACCATTTTGAACAATGCGACTTACCGGTAATTCGTATGCTTTCTGAAGTCTTTAACTCTGCTGGTATACGATGACTTTTTAGGCAAACTGAATAAACTCCTGCATAAATTTCTTGGAATGCTTCCCAAAAGATCAACACTTCAGAAGGGACCCGCCAGTGGCCAGAAAATATTACGCAAACCCATTATTGCGGAACATGCTCTGGTCCAAATTGGCAGTCATCGAAAAATCGACCTCGTCGTGAATGTGTTGAAGAAAAATTCCCAAACTTCTGCAAACTAAGTAGTGTAAATTTTAGACAATCCAGTAAACAACTTTGTACATGTTTGCAGAGGGATTTGGGCAATATAATCAATAATCAACCAGGAAAACCGCTATCACGGTGTGGTGCGTAACTTCTAAAACTAAAAGTCTCGGTCCAGTGAAAGGGTTCTTATGGAATCAGCAGACCAACCGGGTAGCATTTAACTCTTTCAGACAACTTTCTGGGCAATATATGCTCTCATTGGCGCAGAGTGCTTCAACAAGTTTCTACCGTAACCTTACAGTGATAGAAATTGCTAATCTGTTTCTCGTGAAAAAGAGTTGAAGCAGTCTTACAATATGGTACGTAAATTCCGCGAAAGCTGCGCGGGCAAGAGAGTTATCAAAAAACTAAAGTTTAAAGGTTTAAAGGCACCGTCCACCCACATTTTCCACTTCTAGGTTTTTGTCGTTTCAGGGTCTTCTCATGTCCCTGATTCCGAATGTAGAGTCGACAATCCGCGGAAAACCCAACAGTGCCCATTCCGGAGAACCCACTGGCCGGCTTTCCGGAACGGTGATTGGATGGGCGCGCACGGATGGGCGGGCATGGATGGGGAAGGCGGTGCCGTCTGGGGGTCCTCCTGCATCTTCGTCATTCCGGAGCGATTGTTTCGCTTGCGAACCAATATTTTGCCCCGCGACTTGGGCATTGTCTTGATAGGGGGGCCTACTATCATACGCTGCCAAGAGTACAAGACCCTCAACTTAGGGTGGACGCTGCCTTTAATCCATTTTTGTTTTGACACGCCCTGTATGTAGACTTCAAGTACCATGCTAAACATTGTAAAAGAAGGGGGGGGGGGGGCACATAACCGTTAATATCTGAACCCATTCCTGAAAATTCTTACAATCGACTGATTCATAATTCAGAATTGCACCTTGAACGCGGCATCCCGCGGCCCTTTGATAATAGGCTTAAGAAATTGTTTGGTCAGAGTAGACTGCTGAATTAGTGTACTTACACCTGTTTGTAATTACATATGTGAAAAAAAAACGATCAAAAAAAATTTCCTGCGGAAATTGGTAATCTAGAAAACGCAAGTAGCGGAAGCTGTGCGTGGTGTGCAGTACACATACTGAGCTTGGTGTGACTGAACTGGTGCCACACTAAAAAAAGTCTGAGGCTAGATAACGGTTAGAGAGCACGCGCGCGAGAGAGAAGCAGAGTGCGTAGCGGGCTTGAGCGCCCTTAATTAGGTCACAAAGCCCCGCCTTCTAGCCGCCAAGCCAATTGAATTAAAGGTTGAATAATTGTATGAGGTAGATAAGAGGTGAAAAAGAGAAGTTATCAGAGCTATTTTCAGGCTACCCTCACTTCTTCAATGTACTTAATTATGATTATATGTTTTCATGTCATTTCACCCACAGTTTCCACTACATTTTCGTATTTTTTGTTCACCACATTTGCTTGGGGCCTAGCACATACAATCGAAGGGTGAGTCATGCATTAACTAACAGCTCAATAGTTCATTAAAAATTGTTTGAGCTGATTAATTTGAAAAAAATATCATTATTTCAGGGTTGTTCTCATTGGCCTCAATCCCGAGATACATACACATCTTGTTAGTTTTCAAAAACTCTATAGTTTTATCAAGGACCCGCATAAGAGCTCCTCTGGCCAGAAAACTAAATTATTTTCTGTGACAAAGAACCATGAGCTGAGTCATTATGAAATTTAGAATTTGTCATTGTTTTTTATTGCCTCATTTTTTTGCCTTTTTCGATAAACACTTAAAGAAAAATGTGTGTGTAAGGTTTGTTCGTACTGCAAGAAAATCACAACGCTGATAAAATAAACAATTTAATGTTGTGGCTTCGATCTTTACCCGAAAATTTTGTCAGATTCAGTTATTAACAAAAACAAACTTTTGCCCCAAGAACTGCGTAGGATATTTATCAACAATTCTTTAAAACAATCTAATTACTAGAATATAAGTCTGCATATCGTGATAGAAACAACTGTATAAGCTTCTGCCACTAAAAACTTCTCCATTTGTCACACTTTGCCAGTCTCTTCCTTGAAGTTGCCCGCTAATGATTTGCGTGTGAACTAACCATGCTCCTGGTTTGCGATACGCGACGATCTGAAAAGAAAATTTTTTTCCAGAAAGTTAAACGAGAGCTCGCCTTACCTGATCTAGAATGTCCTTGCTTAGTGCTCCCATATCATGAATGTATCTACCCATGGCAGCGTTCATGAACCTAGCCAGGTCAGCATCGCGACAAGCTGCTGCTGTTATTGTGTTGTTGGCAACGATTCGGTTAGACTGAAATTTTATTTCTTCTGCTACAAGCACTTTGCATCATGGTTATGTAAGGCTTTGGTGAGATTGAATATTATGGTTAACTGGGAATATTTTACTCTTTCTTCGTTTCATAACTTTTCCTGAAAGGAATATGGAAAATATCTTATTATGAAAGATTTCCCAACAACTCATGCTCAAGTATATTTCTGAAAAGATGTCATGAACTTCAACGTTCGAAATTTCTTACCTTTCAAAGATATACTAGTTTGGTGATGATGCAGCGGGACAAGCTCCAAAGAACTGCGCCTGATTCAAGAATGTTGGTATAGCCCTCACTGCAGAGAGGTTAAAACTGCAAGTTTCTCGACCTCGTATCGATTTTTCTCCAAAACATCGTCAAAAGCCAAGATTTAACTACTATGAAAAACTGATAGGAAAACTCACTAGTAAACTTTGTTCAACAAACATAATCCTTCCCTTCTGACCAACATCTCTTAATTTGCAAACATTGACAGGATAATGTTACTGATGAAATTTGAAGCCAAAAGTGTCAGAATGTAAATGTCTGTAATTCTTTGGAAGTTCGTTGAGTAATTCACTTTTAAACTTAGCTATAGACGAAAACATGTTCAAATGAGCGATTTTTATTATTATTTATTGCTTTTATTAGGTAGGTGTCCTTCCATACTTTTCGTAATAAAACAAACAAACTTCCCGAGTAAACGTGGTATAAAGTGATAGCCTTTCGCTGAACACTACTTTAATTTTTCCGTTACCTGCAGAGGTGTTGTCGAAGAAAGAATTCAAATATAAGGAATTAGTAGATGGGGTTGTGAAAGACATTTAAATTATTCTTTGAGGGCTCAACTTTTATTTCGAATTGTGAATTCCCATATATCTTCAATTAGAGACAATTTATAACGGTACCTGTAGATCCACAAGTTCCCCAGTAGACGACGGAACATCGTAAGTCGCAACAATTTGAATCGCAGATAACAGGATGAGAACAGAAAGCATGGTTGCGTTTAAGACAATGAGTGATTGTTAGCCTCTTCGCCATATGGCACACGTGCAATAAATCAAGAGGTCAAGCCAGATAGGCTTTGAGGTGGTGAATGTGCTAGTAATCCTTCAATTTGTCACTAATTGATGGAGTGATGCTCTTCAAGCAAAGCTGAACAATTGCCATTCTACCCTTCCTGAAAAAATATTAGATGTTGTGTGATTTTATATGTCTTCGAGACTTGTTTAGTATTAGAACCTTTTGAAAAAAGTTCGATGACACAAGTCTGGGTCATAAAGAATGAATTTTTGTTAATTTCCTCTTATCGCAGCTACTACGTTTTTGCCTGTCTATAGGCAATAAATCCTTATTAAAAGGTTGCAACAAAAAATATGAAAATCGCCTATTGAAATTAGAATCATGAAATCATAGTCAAGTAAGACATCACTCTCGAAGCTTGTAGTAGAGCAGCTAATCAAAATAGTTCATTCAGACTATAGCTGTTTTTCAAATAATCAATTGATTGTAGATGGAATTCCTCAAATGGTAAAAGCCAAAGCGTATTCTCCCTTTAGTTCAAGCAGTGCTGCATTTAGAACGAAGTGAAGCTGGCTGTTACATCATTTTTTGGTCTGGGACCAGCACAGCGCACATGAACGAGTCGTTCGAAATGTCATTAAGTGAGTCGACTGGTGCTTCTATAATTCTAGAGATTTGTAATGTCCTATAAGCATACCCTCGACACACAGAGCCATGTACTCTGGTAACCTTCACTTAGAGAGAAATAAAAAGACGCAACCTTTACCTGAATAAAGAACAGAAGTCATGCGGGGCGAAGCCACGAATGTTAGGACCATAACTATTATACAGGGTGTCTCAAAAGTATGTATGCACTCTTTAATCGTTAATATCTCTCTTCCCAAGAAGTCTTTTGCCTTGCTTCTGGTATCTTTTTGTAGAGCTGGCTTCAACTTAGATTTGCATGTATAGAACGAATCACCCATCTCTCTTCATTAATGTAGGATTACGGTAGGAACTTCAAAGAGGTTTTTGAGCCATAAAAGGCCATATTTTGCTTCAGAAATGTAATAGAACAGCCTGAAAACTTCTACCCTAGGCTAATTAGAGTTGCTGATTCTAATTGTAAAGTTCCCAGCTTATTGTGGTGCTTCATTGGAGATTCATGCCAGGTAAGCAGTAGCGGCTATTTTTTCAATGTTTTTAAAAAGTGCGGTTACACCATTTAGAAAACTTCGCAATCTTGTGAATAGTTGAGTATTGAACTCAGCGTCCATAAAAACTCTATTACACAAGTTTTCACACTTTTTTGAAGATATTTGAAACGGCAGCTTTTTCCACATTGACACCATATGTTCAAGCTTCTATCGTAATCCTACAGTAATGAAGAGAGATGGGTGATTCGTTCTATACTGCAAATCTAAGTTGAAGCCAGCTCTACAAAACGGTACCTGAAACAAGGCAAAAGACTTCTTGGGAAGAGAGACATTAACGATCACAGGTGTATACATACTTTTGGGACACCCTGTATATCGGAATGATTGCAATGAAGCAAATACGAGTAATGTCTCAAAAACATCAAAGCAGCCAAAGCCGCGACAAAGAAGATTTTGTGAGATCTCCAAAATTCAGGGCTACATTTCTCAATCCTCTTATCAGATTGAAATTAACTTTGATGATCTGACCTCTTATCAGATTGAAATTAACTTTGAGAAGTGCACGAACGCTGTTGGAGTTCAATAGAGACAAGAAGTTGCGCTCAAATCTTGCGCAGGGGGTCGCGCGCGACGATGCTAATTCATTTGGTTAATGGGTGATTATTAACACTTGGGAAGTTGTCAGCATTCCTAGTCGTGTCATGACGATCAGAATGATATGACATGTTGCAAGGTTTCATTAGGACTCTGCGGAGATCCATGACCGGAGCCAAATGCCCCGTCTCTCTTTTTCCCCTGTTCGTCTGCGTCTCCGCGCATTACGCACTGCCTCGCTACCCCTAAATGTGGGACCAGGGCCCTGCGCGAGTCGGTTTCTGGGAATTTTTAAAACGAAGTCTTCTCTAACTTTCGGAAGCTTTACGAAGTCTTCTTTGACCTACCTATTTAGGAGTAGATGAAAACAAGAAAGATTTACTAGTCTGAAACAAAAAAACGTGGGATTAGAGATAAGAGTGAAAATCAAAATTGGAGCTGAATACTATGCATGCACAAGAGTGCATTGGAGCGCGATATTTAACAAAGCGATTCTTGAAGAAATTAAGGCAAAAAAACAAAGGAAGGGCAATGATATGAAAATGTCTTCATGCTCAGAAATAGATTTGTGATCGGAGAATCCGTCTATGATAGAAAAATCTAAAACTTGTGTGAGGTGACAGAAATATATGCTCCAGATGATTTCTATATTTTACGCTTTTTCAGTTTGAACGAGAATTGGCAAAAACGTGTTTTCGAAAAACTCTTGCTTTTCTCTAATTCGACTTTTTCAAACAGTTTTTTCGTGCATTTGATAGATCTTGCTTCCTCTGTAATACAGACAAGAGCTCGTCGCAGAGCTTGTTTCTTCGACTTTGGATGATTTTAAAATCGTAAAAAGCTCTTTTAGATTTTTGCAACGATTTTTTTCCAACTTCGGCAACCGTTGCTCAGAATAATGAGCGCAACGATGAGACAACGTCCCATAAAACAGGTACGTCAGCACCGGGTTAAAGATTTAAAGGATGCATAAAAAACTAGATTGGCTTCAACCTACACTTCGACTTTGTGAATTAAAAACTTTATGTTTTGAAAACTATATGTTTTCTTGTTTATCTCCTTCTTGATAACCAACGCTTCTAATACATCGTTATTTCTGCAACAATCACAAAGAAGAAATTGCCTTTTTCTCGTTTTCCCCCGTGTTCTGAACTGCCTGGTCCTGGACCGAAAACTCGCACTTTAAAATGCCGCCAAATGAAAGATTTTAGACTCATTGCAGCGTTTTTATACGGTTTCAAGCGTTTCCTTTGCTTTTATCATCTGTTCCATCTTTTTTCTTTGCCCATTTTCTTATGAACGACCCTCAGTTTTCTTGAAAGACGGATATTCAAACAACTTTCACTATTGACGAACTGTCTCCGAATTATCGAAGGTGTGCCTGCAACTGATCTGTTTGGTACTCCTGTTGCAATTGCAGAGCTTTAAAATGTCCTCCTGAAAAAAGTCTATTCGGTACTTCTGTCACTGCAAAGTTGTGTGTGTGTTTGTGTGTGTGTGTGTGTGTTTGTGTGTGTGTGTGTGTGTGTGTGTGTGTGTGTGTGTGTGTGTGTGTGTGTGTGTGTGTGTGTGTGTGTGTGTGTGTGTGTGTGTGTGTGTGTGTGTGTGTGTGTGTGTGTGTGTGTGTGTGTGTGTGTGTGTGTGTGTGTGTGTGTGTGTGTGTGTGTGTGTGTGTGTGTGTGTGTGTGTGTGTGTGTGTGTGTGTGTGTGTGTGTGTGTGTGTGTGTGTGTGTGTGTGTGTGTGTGTGTGTGTGTGTGTGTGTGTGTGTGTGTGTGTGTGTGTGTGTGTGTGTGTGTGTGTGTGTGTGTGTGTGTGTGTGTGTGTGTGTGTGTGTGTGTGTGTGTGTGTGTGTGTGTGTGTGTGTGTGTGTGTGTGTGTGTGTGTGTGTGTGTGTGTGTGTGTGTGTGTGTGTGTGTGTGTGTGTGTGTGTGTGTGTGTGTGTGCGCCAATTAATTCGGAACATAGGTGCATTACATTCTTTATTCAGATAAGTTTTTCGTTTAATTTTGTATTGTTTTTACTGCCATTAAGCATTATGCATCAGGTTCGCAGCAAAATCGTTACCTGTACTTTGCAAGCAAGTCTTTCCACTTTTCAGTATGGAAGAAAAATCTTTGAATAACGCTTGCCAATTTTCAATCACGTGATTGATTCTGTCACAAATCTCCGTGGTTTGCTCCTGCTTGCGTCCGTTCATGTACCGAATTTGATATCATATTGTAATGTGAACACGGCAAACGAATCAGTTGTTTCTGCTAACAATAAGATGTGTCTGGTCTGACAATGACGCTCTGGGTTAAATCGTGTTCTGTGCACGTCAGTCGTGTTGCAACTTCTCAGACAATCGCCGGGGGCAGGCGGGTACCGGAAAAATAGTTTGCTGATCTCTCGCACCCCGCTCGCGGATTTTTTGCAAAGCAATCAGGACTTTTCGGAAGACCGCTTGCTGAATTCTCGATTCCTCAGAGATTCAGCAATATATCTGCAAAAGATAAGAGCGAAAAAAATTCAACAGGCGGCCTCTCAAAAATCCGCTGACTCAGCGAGCGGTCTTCCGAAAAGTCCTGATTGCTTTGCAAAAAATCCGCGAGCGGGGTGCGAGAGATCAGCAAACTATTTTTCCGGTGCCCGCCTGCCCCCGGCGATTGTCTGAGTTGTTATTGCATAAAAAGTCTTATTTGCTTTTTCCCCAAAGGCAGCGTCTACAAAAAAACCCCTCTAGGTTCCAAGTTCATTTCCTCCTTTTGGAGTCTATATTGAGAGACCAGACCAACACAACTGTGTTATCCAGATTACTGTGCAGCTTTGCATAAGAATGGATTAGAAGAAGACCAACTGTGTTGGTCCGGTCTCTCAATATAAACTCCAAAAGGAGGAGACGAACCTGGGACCTGGAGGACTTTTTTGCGCTCCGCCCATCCAAAGAACGACTTTCTGACGCACTCTGACGTGGCAAGCACAGTTGAGTCGCACATTGTGCACCTATTAGACTGGAAAGGATATAGTGTCGTATTTATTTTTTTATAGCAAAGCGAGCATCATCACGAGCCAAAAAATATGCGAGGGGTGTCGTTTGATAGAGCGAAGTAAGCCTACAAGATTACTTCTACATTGGCCAGTCGTGATGTACGCAAGGTGAAAACATAAAAGGATTCATAATGCCAAAAATTTATTTTCGGCGAAGCTCTTAGTTTCTCCTGCATGTAACAGGGGGGGGGGGGGGGGGTAAAAATGGAATTTGAAAAAAATAAACGAAAATTATTTGAATAT